TTGCTCACGCAACGCCGGTGCCGTGTGAGGAGCCTGCCGTCAATTCCGTCAACACTGTCCCTGCGTCGCGACCGCGTTCGGACAGCGATGAAGGGTGGCTCGAGGCGCTTTGTGCGGGATCGACGGACCTGTCCGATTCAGAGCGTCAACAACTTAAAACGCTATTGCGAGAATTTTCCGACGTTTTTAGTCGAGATAAATATGATTTGGGCTGCACTCACTTGCTGCGTCACCATATTGACACGGGTGACAGCGCGCCAATTCGCCAAAATCCGTTTCGGTTGAGTCCCGCCGAAAAGGAACATGTCAAATCGGCTGTTGATGACATGTTAGCCGCGGACATCATTTCTCCTTCCACCAGCCCTTGGGGAGCGCCGATCGTCCTGGTTAAAAAGCAGGACGGTTCGTTGCGGTTTTGCGTTGACTTCCGGCGTCTTAATAAAATTTCGGTTGCCGACGCATACCCGCTCCCTCGGATGGATGAATCGCTTGACGCTTTGGCGGGAGCGCGATTCTTTTCCACACTCGATTTACTTTCGGGATTCTGGCAGCTTCCTCTGGATGATGAGTCTAAGCCTAAAACTGCTTTTCGTACACCGCACGGCTTGTTTCAATTCAACAGGTTGCCGATGGGCTTGCACTCAGCGCCGGCAACTTTCCAGCGTTTGATGGAATTGGTTTTGGCTGGACTGCAATGGGAGTCGTGCCTCATTTATTTGGATGACGTTATCGTCTTTAGTAAAACTTTTGATGACCATCTCCAGAGGTTGCGGGCAGTTTTCCTAAAGATGCGGGCTGCTAATTTGAAATTTAAGCCCCAAAAATGCCATTTGTTGCGTGATTCGGTGCGTTATTTGGGGCACATCGTGGGACGCTCGGGTATTGCTACCGATCCCGCCAAAACGCAGTGTGTCAGCTCCTGGCCGACTCCCACCACAGTGGGAGAGGTCAGGAGTTTTATTGGGTTCGCGTCGTATTATCGACGGTTTGTTGCTGATTTTGCAACAATTGCAAAACCCCTGCACGCTCTAACATCTAAAGGGGTTCGTTTCCACTGGGGTCAAGAGGAGGAGGCTGCGTTCCGCTCCCTTCGGGACGCCCTGGTGAAAGCCCCTCCCTTGATCTACCCTGATTTTTCGAAACCTTTTTTGCTCGACACCGATGCGAGCAACACGGGTATTGGGGGTGTGCTTTCCCAGGTGGTTGATGGCGTTGAACGGGTGGTCGCATACGGTAGTCGGGTGTTGTCTCCTGCGGAGCAGAGATATTGTGTTACCCGTAGAGAACTGTTGGCAATTGTTTTTTTCATCCAACAGTACCGCCCATATCTGTACGGTCGGCATTTCACCGTCCGCACAGATCATGCGGCACTACAGTATGCCCTGCGGGTTCAACAACCATCGGGACAGTTGTCTCGATGGTTGGAGGTTTTCCAGGATTTTGATTTTGAGACCACTTACCGTAAGGGCGTTCGCCATACCAACGCGGACGCTCTGTCACGCATGCCAACCGCCTCGGAATGTGCATGCCTCCTGGGGTCGGGACGTTGCAGACCTTCAGGGGACGCATCGGTCCCGATCCTGGCAGCCACCGACGATGACGAGCCACTGGCTGATAATTCTATCGAACAACAGGGAAGGGATTCCCTGTTGGGGTTGCCCGTCACTGAGTGGGGGCGCCTCCAAATGGAGGACACCTCCCTCCTCGGGTGGCGTCGTCGCGTCGGGGGTGCTGGCCGGGTGAAAGGTGATTCGGGTGCATGGGAAATGGTACAGGGTCTGCTCATGCACTGGGACGCAAAATCACAGCGACATCGGCTGGTCGTCCCTTCGGAGTTGCGAGGCAAAGTGGTGTGGGCCGCGCATGAGCGCCTGTTACATCTGGGGACTCTAAAGACCCTTGCACTAATACAGCTAGATTTTTTTTGGCCTGGTATGACAAAGGATGTGGGGGATCTTCTGAGTTCATGCCCGCGGTGTGCGCAGCGGAAACCGCCGGCGCGGGAGTCTAACCCGCCTTTACAATCGATCAAGGTGTCCAGAATAAATGAGCTGGTCGCACTGGACATCTTGGGCCCATTTCCCGCCACCCCCAGGGGCAATAAGTATTTGCTGACAGGTGTCGAGTATTTTACGCGCTGGCCCATGGCCTGGCCCCTTGCCAACCAGTCGGCAGCAGCCATCGTGGACGCCTTTGTTCAGGGATACGTCCTGGACAAAGGTGCCCCGGAACGGCTGCTGACCGACCAGGGTAAAAATTTTTCCAGCAAATTACTTAAACAAGTCTGTGACCTCTTAGGCACAAAGAAAATTCGGACCTCCCCGTATCACCCACAGACTGACGGAATGGTCGAGCGCCTGCATCGCACCATTTCGTCAATGATGGCACAGCAGGTCTCAGATTCCCAGACTGATTGGGACCTGCATATTCAGGGGGTCTTGGCGGCATATCGGATGGCACCCCATGCAGCTACGGGGTTTTCCCCCTTTTACCTTATGTACGGTCGCGAACCCGACCCGCCTGTTCGCGCCCAGCTGCAGATCCCCGACCAGCAAGGAAAAACAAAATTGGCTGACCACGTCAAATTTAATTTGGCTAAGTTAACAGAGGCGCGGGATGCTGCGAGGTTAAACTCGGACCTCCGTCAAAAGGCGAACGAGCGCCTCAGGTTGGGTCGAGCGCATGTCATACAGTGGAAACCGGGGGACAGGGCATGGTTGCACTGTCCCCAAGTACCCCTGGCTACCTCCCCAAAGCTGGCGCGGCCGTGGCGGGGGCCTGTGGAAGTGGTCGAGGTCCTGCGACCACAGTGCGTGCGCATTCGTTGGGGGAAGCGGCGATGGTTCGTGCACCCCTCTCGGTTGAAACCTTTCGTCGCGGCACACAAACCCACTTCACACATGCGTGGCCAGACGTGTGGGGGGTCGACCGACTCACTAGGTCCGTCCCCACCGCGCTCACCTAATGCCTTGCCGGCCGTGCCACCTCCAGGTGCATCGAGACTGACGGGCTCACGCCCGACCACCCCTTCTGGGGATACCAACAGTCACGAGGCATCAGAGGAGGCCCCGCTCCCGGACGGACGATTGCCACCTGACGGTCCGCCACCCGGGGTTTCCCCGTGTGAGGGGCCCGCCGCAAGGACACGCGCAAAAATGCGCAAACTGTTGTGAAACCGCAAGGACACGCGCAAAAATGCGCAGACTGTTGAGGAACCGCAAGATTTGTATATATATGTTGTGTTCATTGTGTGTTGTGTGGGGGGGGGGGTGTTCCCTGCCCATTGCATTCACGTACGTTGGGCTCACCTGCTGTTGTGTGCATTGTGGCTTCGCTACAAATTGTATATAGCTCGTTCTTACGGTATCCGTATTTATTCGGGGGGGGGTGCGTCGGATTGTTCCCTTTCAGGGTTGAGGGTTTTGTTGTTGTCATTGTCGTTGTTGTTGTTGTTACTGTTGGTTCCTTCAAGTTAGCGTTAAAAACGTTTTTTTTAAGGCACACGCGGGGATCCAGGGGTTAAATAACCTTTATTGAAAGTTGTTGCAGCCGGGACGGCTGCGAGCTGTACAGGGGGGGGTGATGTAGGGCTGTTACAGAGGGTCTGTTTGTGTAGGGCTGTTTACATAGGGGCTAATGGAAAACAGACACAGTGGGCGGGGTCTCCGTGAGCACACGGGGTGGTGCCCGCAACGACGTCCGTACTGGACGGCGTGAGGGGGGTTTCGATCCTCTAACGGGGTATAAAAAGGGTTGAGCCAGAGAGCTCGGGGCTCAGTCTTAGAGTAGTTAAGAGAAGAGAGAAGACCAGCCAGATAGGCCCTGGACTCCCCCTGGGACGCCGCCCTTGTAAGGGCAGTGCAGGCTGGAGCCAGTGGCGTGGTCCCGGAACCAGAGTCAGACCTCTGGGATTCCGGGTACCGTAGCCCGACTAACCAGTGTCGGGCCAGACAGCCTCCCCTAGCCCGTTAGCGGAGGACTCAGCTAGGAAGGCTAGCTAGGGGTGAATTCCCAGTTGTACGGGTGAGGGGGCCGATACATCCCTCTAGTACTGTAAGCCCTTTGTGTAAATAAATACGTGTGCCTTACCCCGTTGTCCACGCGTCTTCAACAACACTTCATATGAATGATCCCGTTTAGCCAGTTTCCTAGCAAATTTCACGAAGGAGGTTCGTGGTGCTGCATGAGAATTGATCCATGGTGTGCGATAACACACACCTGCCTCAATCCCCAGTGAGTTGGATGTATGACGTTGTACCATAAAGAGAAATACATACATACCTGTGACAGATTTTAGTGGCATTTCACTACAGTACAAGCTTATTAGCACGGTTGACTACAGTGCGAAAGAAGTTCAACATCTATACACACAAAAGCAAAGGCAGCTTTACTTGCACACACGTGCAGTATTGCATCGTGTCCTGAACAGTGTCTTCCGACGTGTCGTTCTAACACCGTACGGTGTCAGAAGTCGCCAGATTCATCCGATAGATCGCGAAACAATATCAAGCTTGGCAAAGTGACAGATGTGGGCGTTGGTGGCGCATGCCTGTAATCCAGCGCTGTGGAGGCAGCAAGGGTTGGAAGATCACACACACAGATGTTGTGAAACTCCATTCCCATGGATGCCGAGGAGATTTTAGTACGCCAAAAATGTGGACTCCACCTCTTCTGCCTGTGTGGGATATAAAGTTTTTTTTACCTCTTCGCAAGCGTGGGTTTTCACCGGGTGCACCGGTTTCCTCATACATTTTCTCATAACACCCTAATATATGTAGAGGACCGCAGAGCTTGGCCAATTGTTGGCACCGGCTCACCGCGTGGCTTCCTTCCCGCTTGTCTGCGGTTCTTCGTGCCTCTTGAGTCGTTCTCTCTTCGAGAGCGAGCGAACACTGTATGCGTTACAAAGTCAAATTACTATGATTGTTATCAAACGAAATCTCGCTCTAGATTCACGATTTTATAATGCGGCGCAAACGTTGCTCCTTCGCTCCCGACAGGCTCGCAGGGTATCACGAGCTGGCTGAGAGGCTGTTGGAGTGTCAGTATGAGCTGACGGATCGCCTGGCCTTCTACCTTTGTGGAAGGCGTCCCGGTGAGTTGGTAACAGCACTGACAGACGTACATTTTACTGGGGGAAGGCAATGTACGCAGTTTTTTTGTGATTGCCTCCCTTTTTGAAAAAGTTAAGTTTTGTGTACATTACACGAGGCTAGCGGCAGCTTGAGGAGACCTCCATCGAGCAGTGGATTGACCATTTCTGATGATGATGATCATATAATCATCAAAAGGACAAAATCCCTTTGTTTGGAGTTCTAAAAATAAGCCTTTTGAAGTGCATATTTTGACTTGAAGTATATTTTCATCTTATTTATTTTTAATTCATGCTCCAAAAGGAAGTTATGACTGCGATCGGTTTGATACAATGGAGGCGATGCGACCTTCACATTTGCATTCATGCTGTGCAGTGAATGTTGATTATACATCATTGTTGTGCCGATTGGTTCAAATGCGGAACGCATTATGAGCATACATTATTATTGTCAATTCCTTTGCAGTACCTGAGCCTCTGCATGGATTTGAATAGCCGCGACAGTGTTGAAAGGCACCTGCAAAGCATATGCCTCCCTAGCTTTATGAAAGTTGTAATAGTTTGTCTGAAAATGCATGTGGCTTGTACGACAGGTGACTTTGACTCTTGCGTGTGCTTGTTAATGTGTTGACACAGACCACAGGAGTGGCCAGCACTTCATCATCCCACAGATGGCTGACAGGTAAGGGACTGCAATCTATTAAACACCTCTTAATGCACTTCGGTTTTTCATGACAGCCACTCAGAGCACCTCGCGTGCATTTGTTCCGAAATTCCTGCAGTGTCGTGTACCAACGCTGGGAAACAATTTGCACTTGTTGCCAAAAAAAGATCTAAGTGTTGTTAACCCTTTGAAGCCACATAGCAAAGTAACCAGGTGGCATTTTTTCGAAGGAAATCCACGCGTCGAAACTGGTGTTGCATTCGTCCTCTCCGCTATGCTTGTACATTATTGAGTAGACTACTATAATTACACTGGTCAACACACTTTTTTCTGGCATAAGGTATTCCAACGGGTTTAAGGTAATTTTGGGGTGCTGATTCCAAATCTGGCATCAGTTTTTGTCTATCACATTTTTGAGATATCAAATATTGCATTTTCAATAAAAACTGCAGAAGGAAAATATTAAATAAATGTGGATATCTAAATACAATGATATTATAAACACACTATCCTAAAAATATAGCACCATATTTTAACACTAAAGCAGTCACTGACTCGCAACAACTTGCAATCATAAGTGACAGAGTTAATTTCGGGTAAAATCAATGAAAATGGGGTATGCCGATAGCATAAAAATGAGATGTGATAGAGCAAATCTGAGATCAGATTTGGAATCAGCACCCTGAAATTAGTCTAAAAACAAGCTGCATTAGTCCAGGGCAGATTTTTTTTTGTTGACCAGTGTTATAAAGGTGCAAAGAATGTGCCTTACATTGAATTGTAAATTAATGTTATACTCATAGGTGTAAGCATCCCTCTATCATTCTAAATAGTGTTCACCTTAGACCATTGTTAAATGCAATTGTGTGTGTAGAATTCACTGTTGGAATTTTGCTGCGGTCGTATTTAAAATAAATATATTACAATCTTTTGCAACAGAAGGACACCAAAGTAAGTATCTTTTTAATTTAAAAGCCATCTCACTGTGATCAAATATTCAGTATTATCATGTCTTACAGGTATCTAGACAAGAATGAAAGACTTGATTGATATACACCATTTTATTATAGCATAGCGACTGAAAATATTGTGTTGCCGTAAACACATTTATCGTGTATATTCTATCTGATTTAAAATACTTTATATTATAATGCAATGCCAATATGTTGCTTGCTTTTGGATAACATATAAAAAAAAGGATATTTATCATTGGCATTTAATGTTCAGCTGCTGATGATACAGGAAAATATCTGAGATGTTTAAAATCTTCGTTTTTAGAAATACGTTTAACTTACAATGTCAGTGATTGACTTTTCTTTGTGCTTAATGAAACTCCAGTAATTTATGGGTGACGGGATGGCTGAAAGGTCAGATCACTGAGCCAGCACTGCTGAGATTTCTTGTTCGATTCCGGCCCAGGTCCCTCAAGTATCATCCAAGTCACCAAAGACTGTGCAATAAAAAAAATAACATTACATTTGGTTATAAAGATAAAAAAAATATTGGTTTTGACTGACACATAATGAGCTCTGCTCATTAATCGGGCACATGGGAATGTTCATTGTCCTCTAGTGCGGATAAACGAGCTCTTACTTGAAGGGAGCTCAGCTGTTTCGCATTATCTCCTTCTTTCTGCAGACCATTATGTGATCTGCAAGAGGTCTTAACGGTCACAACTTTACTTCACAACGTGCAGCTGATAGCGCATTTGAAATTAAATAAGGGAAATGACAGAGCAGGAACAATTTGCCATAAAAACCCAACAAGTCATAAACATGTCTCTCAGCATTGACAGGACTATTTGCACATTAAAGTTTGCAGTGTATCGTGATGGTTTTGACTGGTTTGTGATTTTTGACTTTGTTCTGTTTGTTTACGCTCAGCCTGGATCTCTCCGAGTTGGCAAAAGCTGCAAAGAAAAAGCTTCAGGCTGTAAGTGTTCTCTGAAGCCCTCCGCAGTAAACTCATGATCGCTGCAAGAGAATGTTTTTGCGCACGGTTGCGTGCACTTTATGCTTTTCATGTGTTTTTTCCAACAGCTGAATAATCACCTTTTTGAGGAGCTGGCAATGGATGTGTACGACGAGGTGGATCGAAGGGAAACGGACGCAGGTTTGTGTTGCCTACTCGGACGATGACGGTTCTCGGTGTAATAAGTTCACGCATTTCTAATTGTGTTTCACGGTGAATGCGCACACACGTTTCTTCACTGCAAAATAGGAGTGGATGTTTGAAAATGAACACTCGCATTGTTATGGTTTCTCAGCATGCCTCCCTCAAGTTTCCTGAAAGCTGCATTAATAGATTTTTCTCGGTTTTTCTGCAGCGCAAATGTTAAATCAAGGCATTTTTATTCTTGATTTGAAGCTTTCGTGACTGCAGGAATCCATACTCTTTGGTTCTTTCGGTAAAGTCACGTAGGTAGAAAAATCATAGATCACGACGTTTTGATCGCAACGCAAGCAATCGCCATCAGGTGGGACAACCACAGCAAGAGCCGACTTCAGCAGGTCTTCCTTGCTGCGGTTGTCCCACCTGATGACGATTGCTTGCTTTGCGATCAAAACGTCGTGATCTATTCTTTTTATACCTACGTGACTTTACCGAATTAACCAAAGAGTATTTTTATTCTTATTACGGTTAATTGTAGCTTACTCGCTTGTAAATATAGTTACCCTCAAGATTTAAAGCACCGGGAGAAAACTATGCTGTGAACAATTTGTTATTTTTGGTGGACTTGGAGGCTTTTTTTTTAATTTATATTTTATTTACATTCGCATTCAGGCAAAGGATACATCGCCCCATAAAAAGCCTTTCAGGGCTATAAATGTATGGAACAAATCATTCTTGATTATAAATTGCTCTTAGGTTTTTATTACCCTGAGAAGTGTGCTTATGTTGCGAGTTTGGCTATGAGGGAGCTCGTGTTATTTTTTATTAAATAAAAACAATTATTGCTATTTGAACTTCAGAGTGAAAAGTTAATTCAATTTATTAATACTGTAATAATATGAGACTCAGCTTTGACAAATTACAGAATTTTAAAAACATAATGTGAGAGCTTAATAGCATCTCTTGAAATGCAAGGGTTTTATGGTACAGTTAATAAACCAGACAGACGTAGTTGTGACTTGTTAGTAAACGCATAAGAGACACTCAGACCAGCAGTAGGCAGCCAGTCTTATTATAGAGAGTGTGGATGGAGTGTTTAACTTTAAAAAAAATAAAAAAATCCGATTGTAAAACCAGATCCAGGCTATATTTGAGGCTTTAATTTGAATGTATTTATTTATTTACCACGTTATAATCATTGCCAAAAAAACTTGGTCTATTAAGTAGCAGGGTGGGTCCTGAACGCACAAGTGGTTAGCATTAATTTTATTTAACGAGACAGTGCAGCTGTTTTTAAAGACATTGTACTAACCGCAGACAACCATAGCGACACGACTGCACTCTATGATAGCTCCTTCTTGGTTCTTTCGGTAAAGTCACGTAGAAGGGAAGTAATAAAATAATAAAAATAAAACATAATAAAACAAAGAACCAAGAAGATGAATCCCTGCAGTCACGAAAGCTTTAAATCGAAATCTATGATAGCTGGCGCCAAACTGTGCCACACTCCTTCCCGTATGGCCTTGTGAGAGCCTCGGTACCAATAAACTTATTTGATCGGATTCCGTTATCCATCGGAACTAGAATATCTGTGAAATTACCCTTATTTTTACATTTTTTTTATGTATATGTTTTAATATTTAATTGAGAATCAAGCCATATATCTAGAAATTTGTCATAGGCGATATTTTCGATGGTGGAACTGTTTACACAAGGGGTCCAGTTTCAAAACAGATTTGGGCTCCCAAAAGACAAAAGGTCACCTTGCCTACGTTTATAAGATCCGTTGCATATTGTTGAGATCAAGCTGTGATTTTGTTCCTGCTTCATTGACAGATGAAGCAGGAATATGAAGTATCATATCATTTGCAAAGATGACTTGATAATCTTGATTTGAAGCTTTCGTGACTGCAGGAATCCATACTCTTTGGTTCTTTCGTTAAAGTCACGTGGGTAGAAAAATAAATAAATTAATATTCAATCACGGCGGTTCGATCGCAACACAAGTGGCCGTCCTCAGGCGGAAAAATAACACTGGTCAACACACTTTTTCTGGCATAAGGTATTCCAACGGTTTTAAGGTAATTTTGGGGTGCTGATTCCAAATCTGGCATCAGTTTTTGTCTATCACATCAGGTTTTTGAGATATCAAATATTGCATTTTCAATAAAAACTGCAGAAGAAAAATATTAAATAAATGTGGATATCTACATAAAATGATATTATAAACACACTATCCTAAAAATACAGCACCATATTTTAACACTAAAGCAGTCACTGACTCGCAACAACTTGCAATCATAAGTGACAGAGTTAATTTTGGGTAAAATCAATGAAAATGGGGTATGTTTAACATGTAGGCTTTCGCGACCAATATTATTCATAATCAACGTTTTAGGGTTTAGATCGCATTATTTATAAATGTGTCGTAACCCTCCACCACCCGGCACGGCCAATCAAAATGGGGTATGCCGATAGCATAAAAATGAGATGTGATAGAGCAAAATCTGAGATCAGATTTGGAATCGGCACCCTGAAATTAGTCTAAAACAGCTGCAAAGGGCCAGACCAGAAAATAATGTTTTTTTTTTTGTTGACCAGTGTAAATCCAGCAGTGGAACTGCTGACGTGCTACTCATGGAGCTCCTAGACTCGTGTGCGGAAGCTGCTGTGGTGTAATGATTATCACACTGGGCTTGCGATCCTAAGGTCACCAGATCGATCTCCCGGTGCAGCAGTTTAAACATTGAGACATTTTTTTTTTAAATCCCCACTACCTCTGTCCACCCAACAGTATAAATGGGCAGGACTACAGGTCGCCAATTGGCAAGTCCACATGTGGTGGGGAAAAGTTCGAGTACCTCCACTTCCAAGACTTCTCTCCAGCTGGGAAGAGTAGGCCAAACTCTATCATGAGGCCTCTTTTGCCAGTAGCAAAATATAATAATAGGTTTTGTACCCTTTTTTCTGGCAACAAAACTGACACCTTTTTTCAAGTAATCATATTTGCATTAACCACAATACCTGCGGTCAGAATGAAAAAAAAATGCTTACCCCGAGCCCTCATATTCTGATAGTGCGTTGTCTTTGAGTTGTGCACCTTTTGGCGTCATCTGATCCAACACCATGTGAGACTGGGCTCTAAGAAAAGCTGTCTCTGGTGTGGACCAATCAATTTCAAGAACAATGCATACATTTTCAGAGTTGTGGTTTTTTTGCATTCTGACCGCAGGTATTGTGGTTAATGCAAACATGATTCCTTGAAAAAAGGTGTCAGTTTTGTTGCCAGAAAAACGGGTAAAAAACCTATTATTATTAGACCAAACTACCCTATTGCGTGGCTCTCACTAGCTGTCTGCAGTGGAGGTTCCGAATGCCAACAGTGGCATGAGCAAGGAATTACAGGGCCGCACTTTAACATTTTACTCATGAGGAATTATTCTGCAGTCCAGAAAATGGGGAGACTTTGAGTCCTGCCTCTAATCTTGGCTGCCCTTAGTCTCACTTTCACTGTACACCCACCTCGCAGCAGCCATTTCAGGTTAAGCCAATCTAGATAAAAACCCTGTTGCGTCTCGTTATTGAGTTGAGTCGGTCTGATGGATTGCCCCCAAGGAACGCTCATTATGGGCAAGGTTGGCATGGAAAATGCCCCCAACCCCCATGCACAGAGCCCATTTGAAACAGTTATTTAATTTAGTCTGTGAAGCTGAACGTACTCTCAGCTGACCTGGACGTGCCAGCCGCGGGAGAGTGCAAGGGCTTAGATTTATGTTCACGTGATGTAGGCACGGCTTTAGTTGTATGGCTACGGCCGTGCTTTATACGACTGTGACACTTCTCAAACCGTCCTTTGCATATTCGTGTGCGAGCGCACATGCACGCGCGTCTGATCTGACCCGATTTCTCTAACTGTATATGATGAATAATAAATCCTTCACAGTACAATTTGGTGTCAATAATGTATGTATGTTGAGCTTCTTTTGCACCGTGTGTGGCCAATCGTGCTAATCAGAGGTGTGTAAAGATAAATGTGGTGTTAAACACGCCACCACCCGACACAGTCAATTAGTAAGGTTTGTCACATGAGCAAAATGTGCCAATTAGTGTATTGGAGAGTTAACCCACAACATTTACAATTCCAGTACGATGTTTTGCTGATGATTACAACCAGCTTCATTGACTAATTGCCTGCTTAGCTGATGTGTTAAACCAAAATATGGCATTTTCAAAGCTTAAACCAAATAAATAACAGAAATATATGTCAGATGTGAAAATTTTGGGCTGTGGACCTTCTTCACATTGGCTTAGAAAAAATAGAGAAACACAGCTACGCTTGCATTTTGCCGACTGCACTAAATTAGGAGCAAGTGCAAAAATGTGTGAGTTATTTTATAATTAATAATTTCGAATCAAAGACTTGGAATGGTTTAGGAAGCTGTTCTTTGAAGTGGACCCACCCTGTAATTTTCAGGGCATTGTGATTGTCATGAAATCTCTCCCTCATAAACACCCACACAAGTTGACCCTTCCCCTACGCCCCTGGCGGTGCCCGTACAATCTTTTATTTTCATGTCCCATCAATTTTTTTCCAAATGTAAATTTTAAAGAAACCTGTGCACTTTGTAAAGAATGTCTGTTAGAGCTTTCTCCATTTACCATCATCATAAGATTGCAGTTTGAGCTAGGTCAGTAAAGCTCTCTGTACACACATACATGCTTGATAGCATGAAGATTTTATCATATTAGTTTAATTCCTATAATCTTCCACATGTTCGTCATGATGTTGATGACCCATAATACAGGTTTTTTTGGGTTAGATTGCGTAAATATATAAATGTGTCGTTAAACCCGCCACCACCCGACACAGCCAATTAGTAAGGTTTGTCACGTAAACAGAACGTGGCCAATTCGTCACGAGTACAGCACACCGGTATGTTGGAGAGCCAAGCCACATTTACAATCTGAGTACGACATTTCGCCAGTAATTACAACTCGCTTCATCAGGCGCCAGCCGGATGTGGATGACGCACATGGTATCGAGATGTTGACGGTTGTTGAAACAATCTGAAAGTTTATTAACTCCCCCCCTGCCCCCCACTATGGGGTAAATTGTGGGAAACTCACACCTCTTTCAGCATGTCTAACCAGCATGAGTGAGTAGGCCAAAATACCCTCGAGGGGGGGCCACTCCAGGAGGAGGCCCTTCAGCCAGCGGTGGCACGAGCCAATAATTGCAGGGCCGCCCTCTTTACCCCTTTTTTCGCGGTCACCCGAGCTCATAGGACGTGTGTGTGCACGCGCGGTGCCTTGCAGTGTGGCTTGCAACGCAGAACCACAGCATGCTGCTGAGCGAGCGCACCGTGGTGCCGTTCCTGCCCGTCAACTCGGAGTACTCATCAACACGAAACCAGGCAAGCCGTGCTTTACGGGGCAAGGGTGTCGGCCGGCGGAAAATACACGGCGGAGTAATGACAATTAAAAAAGCTTGTAAGCCTATGGCCAAATCACCCGGAAAGCGCCCGATCTCGTCAGGCCCTCGGAGTCTACGGGAGGGATGACTCTGGATAGAGCTTAGATGGGCGACCACTATGTGTACAACAGGTGTTATAGGCTGCTGCGGGGCTCCGTTGTGGCCAGCAATAGGCAGTGCCGCAAACTCCATTCTACTGTACTATACCGCCACGTTCATGCTCACCGTCTTCACCAACCCGCACTGACCAGCCTGGTGAAGTATGGCCAACTAACCCCACGTCGAGATGGAGACAGGTGCCTCTGCTCTGGAGGCACGGGTTGCTGCTGCTGATGGCTGCTGCTGATGGCTGCTGGTGCTGACCAATCGGGCTTGTAGGGGCGCTACAACTGTTTGCCGGTCAAACGCAGCGGTAGTCGTAGCGTTTTTCTCACTCTGCTCTCGCACGGCACCTCTTGATCCTTGTTCTCCAGGGCCGGCAGAAGCTGGCGCGCTTCAACGCTCGCGAGTTTGCGACGCTCATCATCGACATCCTGAGCGATGCCAAGAGAAGGCAACAAGCCGTGACTGCTCTAGGGCCCAAAGGTATCCCCCCCTCTGTGTGCACACACAGATTGGCAAGAACCCCTTTAATATGCTCCCAAGCGCAGCAGCGTATGGGGAGCCAGGCAAAGCAGTGTGCTGTGGCTCTTTGGTACAGTGAATAGTAATTAACAATGGAGACACTGTGTTTAAGAACTTAAGCACCATTGGTCATTGGATCCGGTCAAGTGACTAACTTATCCACAATCGTAATGTTGTGGGTTCAAATCTGTATTGGTTATTAACAAAACCATTTTAAGGTCAATAACATGAGTACCGCTTTGTGGAAAGTCCGCGGTGGCTTGCTTGAGGAGAAACTGGCTGCTACAAGAGGTGTTTGTAGTTTCCACCACTGGGTCAGGATGGACATCATCAAAGAAGAGTGTCAGGGCTGCAGTGGTCGTCACGTCGAGCTCTTGAGGTAAACTTATTGCGGAAGCGGCCATTTCTTTTTCGGGTTGACCTTGAACCCCGCTTCCCATGCCAGCAGACGTTCACCTGACGAACCGGAACGAGAACGCTCGTCCCGCGGACGACCAGCCCGACTACGACAGCGTCGCCTCGGACGAGGAGCCCGACTCGGAGCAGGGCCCCCACGGCAGGGGCGGCCGCAGCAAGGTGGTGCACCGCTCGTCCGCCACCGCAGCTCACAGACGGCTTCCTTGGCCATGAACCTGCCCACCACCGCGGGCAGCTGGCGTCGTCTGCTTGGCAGTGTGCTCCGGTGCATGGGAATCAAATGGCAGTCCCCTGTTTCCAACTTCCCCCACCTCGTGGTCAGCTGCTTTGTCCTCCTCCGACCGGCTCGCGCTCCAGTGCATTAGCGCCGCCTGCACGCTTGATGGCTGCACCGCTGCCTCGGCTAGCCGGTGTGCCGTGTCAATGCCCGTGCGACTCGTACCAAAGCAGATCGAGTTGCAAAGGGGCCTTGTTTGTAAATATGTTGTTCTGTGTCCCTGCCTGAACCGGGCAGACTGGAGCGTGTTTGAATCAATCTCTGGTAAATATTTCATCGGTGCTGTGATCCAGGACATCAAAATTGTGTGTGTGTGTGTACTCAATGTCGAGGGTTTGTCAGGTGACTATAAATGAACACGTGATTTGTTTACTTTGGTAGTTTTCAGAGCTCAGTTGTTTTCCGTTGATGTATAGGTCAACTTAAAACTACCCTTTACCCATCGTCGCAGAGACAGCAGTTTCACAGACACGTCTACATGTAAATACAGAATTAGATTCGTTTATTTAAAGCTGTCTTTTTATGCATTAAGAAGCTTGCGTTTTAACACTCATTCATAATATTTAACAATATGTACAGCAATGGCAGCAATTAATATTCAATTGCTCGATCCACAGACACATTTACATTTATTTATTTATTTATTGAGCCCACCTACCTAAGGACAAGGTAATGACATATTTAAATGATGACATACACACTTTCGCAGCCGATATTTTGTCTCTTAATTTATTTTTGGATTAGGTCACATGATCTGGCCAATGACGATACAGAAAAAAAGCCGTGCTTACTGACATTTTCAAACAATGAAAAACAAGACGTAAAATTAATGTCACTTTCTACTTGGCATTAGAGTGACTATGAAAGGGCACCGTATGCTGGATTGATGAGGCAATTGCAATTTTCTTGATATAAATAACTCGGTCGATCATTGGACCGTACATTACTTTCCCATGTAATATTACAGTAGGATATATTTTGGTCCTGCGGTGGTGTAGTGGTTTGGCACAGTGCACTTTAAACCCAGCTACCCGAGTTAGATACCTGGCCGTGACTCACAACTGTGACAAGTGATATCAGGATCAGTCATGTCAACCTACCCCCTCCCCCCTTCACCAACCTGCTGTGACTAGCATGGCGAAGTATGGTAAAGAAAAACGTTGACTAACTTTGTGTTCGTGAGTTCATCAATTTGCCAATTGAAAATTCCTGGAATTTCATCTATATTTGTAAGTGCTCGTCTACCTGGATACTGTAGATGTTTGCCACTTTTTGTCATCTGAATTTGTGACAATGTAAAGCATGGAATATAATGATTATCTTATTAAGATTTATATATATAGTGCCCTAGTCCAAGGCGCTTAACTCTACTCTCGCTTTAACTCTTCAAACTTTATTCACACAAGCTTTTAAAGTTATTCACAGTGGCAATGTAATGTAAATGTCACAGTGACATTTGTTTGTGAAGTAACATTTAAAATTCGTAACCTTAGCTGAATGCAATCTAAATGAATATTAACAAGGTTGTCCAATGTCTTATTCCTCGCAATGAGCATGACAGAAATGTCGCAGTCACCTAAAGCAACGAATTTTCAAACCCTGCATCTACATCACCGCCAAAGTAGCTGTTGAAATTACATTTGACCCTTGAAATACATGTTCAGGCAAGCATTGTGGTGAGCACTTTGATTGTTTGCGATAGGGCAAAGATTAACCTTTTTAGCACGCGATTGTATTGCATTGTGCCGAGCTTTTAACACATTAGTCGGACTCAACAGCAACACTATTGTGGCGTTTCCATGGCTTATCGATAATCTGAGTGGCTCCGGCTGTGCGAATGCCACACCCCGACCATTCCTACTCCTCTGTCCTTACCCCCACCCCACCCTTCCTCTCTCGCATCCCCAAGCAGAATGCCGCATTTCCGAACGACACGGATGGCCCCGTCGCCATCCGGGAATTTCTGGATGTCAAGAATGCCCTGGCAGCGTCTGAGGCCAAGGTGCAACAGCTGCTGAAGGTCAACAGCTTCCTCAACGAGGAGCTGCAGCACCTGCAGCATGAGGTGCGACGCGACACGCACGGGGGCCCATGCTCTGCTGCCGTTACTGCTGACAAGCAACACGGGTGACACACCGGAGCCGGGCTATTTGATTAGATTTTTTGTCACGTCACAAGACGAAGTATACTTTCGTATCTCTTGCAGAGCACTGCAACCTTTCGTGTTAGAACATGGCCCACGGAAGTGGTTGTCACAGAGCTACCTCTGAGATCCCATCAAGAGAGCTCTAGTTCACACACAGCAGAAGGCAGCACTTCTCGCACGCTCTTCGTGACGCTCAAAGCGATGTATTAATTCCCAAAGATCGAATTTAGCCAAATTAAATGCAGAACCAAATTTAACGTGCAGTCATTGGTGACTGGGTTTGTTGTCTGATTATTTAAGTATGATGGGTTGTGGCACTGCAAAACCATGATGATTGGTGGCAACATGGAAGAGGCCTTCATCCAGTAGAGGCAATACATTTGCATATTACGGAGATGGTAATATTTGGTATTTCATACCAAATGGTATTTCATACCAAATGCATGTAATGACTCAAGGTGTTTGTTCGGCTGCGCTGCATCTTTGCAGTGAGCCACATGTCACCATCCGCTTGTGCAGTGCAGCAAGTACAGACTCATGAGTGACAGTGTCACGCAAAAAAAAAATTATTGTTACTTTGCATTGCAATTTTTTGTCGTCAGCCTTTTGGTGTTTACATCCCATCACAATAGATGATTCGCAAAGCCACGCCATGTTGGCGTAAATACATTAATTGCACTCGCATCTTTCAAGAAAATCAACGTTTTGATGAATAGTAAAAGATATGTAGACGTTGATCATTTGAGTGCACGGCTCGCTAGAAAGGGCTGGTGTGTGTGCACGTGTGAACAGTGCAGATGCACATGGCAGCACATTGATCTCCCTTATTGCGTCCGGTGTTCCTGTGACCCACTGCTGTATGTGTTGGCAAACTAGCACAAGCCCGAGCCAAATGTTGTAAACTGCTCCACCACGCATTATTATTGCCTGTCCTTCACAGAGCTGGCATGCAACACGGGTATTGATCATTGTTAATAAAAATTGCAAGCCCTGCAGCAACTCAGGTGGCCGCCTTTCTCAGTTTGAGATGCTTTAAGATTGCGTGCTTGGCCCCATTGTTCTACTTTATTACAAAAAAGTTTTGCTGTCTGGCTGCAAGTGCTGACGTCACCGCGCACACCTGCGTGATGATGTCACCCGTGCTGACGTCACACTCCCCTTACACAGCGGCTGTGTATCCCACGCGGCAGTGCGAGTTGATACTCAAATTATTGTTGATTGAGCAATAAGGTGAATTGGTATTGTCTGGGAAAACGACGACTCGTTTGATTTCATTGATGGCAAAGCTTGGTGATAACTCGTGTGACGATAAAGAAATACATTACCATTTATTTAGCTGAGAGAGTGTCGGTGACAATTGAGCCTCAAGACTGAGGAGGTTTTTCCTACATTGGGATGTTTGACCAATTTCCTATTAAGGAGTGCTTTTCTTGTGGGAGGAGAGTGCCTATTGATACTCTTTGGTTTTTTCGGTAAAGTCACGTAGGTAAAAAATTAAAATAAAATAATAACGACGTTTCGGGCGCAACACAAGCATCCTTCTTCAGGTGGGGACAACTTAGCGAAAGCACACCGCTTAAATCTAGAATTAGTGGCTATTGAAGCAACACCACTTAGGCAAGGGGTAACACTCAAAGACCTATCCAGATGGGTTCACGAATCCACTTGCTGTACTGCAATATTGCTGGCCACCTCGTAGCCTTGTCAATTTGGGAGCATTACAGACCCATGTGTTCAACCAACACCTGCCTCCACAGTGCTGGCTTACAGGTGTGCACTACCACAACATATGCCCTGTACCTAAAGCTTTCGTGACTGCAGGAATTAATATTATTTGGGTCTTTCGGTAAAGTCACGTAGATAGGTTAAAAAAAAATAACAAAAAAACCACAGATTTTTTGCTATTTTCTTTGAACCTATCTATGTGACTTTACCGAAAGACCCAAAGAATATATGCCCTGTACCTGGTGATCATTCCTCATTGCAACCCTGTATCATGGTCTTCCTTCATACAAACATTCTTTGGATGGGGGGGGGGGGGGGGAGTTACAACACAATAAATGTAAAAAAAAGACAAATGTTAAATATTAAGCAGAATGAGTCACGATATGAATCTGCTTTTGTGGATCACGCATTCTGCTCTAGCTCTCACTCCCTGTGTACATGTGGAAAGGCTGTACCAACATTTCTTCACTTTTTTTTCACAATTTGCCATTGGGGCAGACCCTTTAGAAGAAGTGGGGGGGTGGGGGCTTTATTACCCCCCAATGCTACGGGGCTGATCTACTTGCGAGTGCTTTTGATGATGTTGGCAATGACGACGTTGAGTTGCGCTGATATTTCCTTTTTTGCCGTCAGGTCAGGAAACTGCACAGCGAGAACGCGGCGCTTCGGCAGCAGTACAACACCAGCGTCTACCAGAACCACAGCGCCCCACCCGCGGCTCCGCCGCTCGCTCCGCCGGTCGATCGCAATGATGTTGGGCCGCGGAAGGTGTGCCGGCCGTTCTCCATGTACGAGACGGGACACCGCGCCTACCACCCCGCCGGGGACGCCGCGGCTCCAGGGGAGGTGCCCGCATTCCAGAGCAGCCAGCCCTTCCAAAACAGCGTGAGTTACTTCGCCAGCGAAGGGACACCGAGCCAAAGGTCCCCAGGCGAGGCCAGCTAATTTGCTGTCTAAACTAAAACTCAACTTTCGATTTAAAGCTTTCGTGACTGCCGGGATTCATCTTCTTGGTTCTTTCGGTAAAGGCACGTAGAATGGAAATAATAAAGTAATAAAAATAAAACATAATAAAATAATGTATTATATAATAAAATACTTTTTTATGCTTTGTTTGTATTATTTTATTTTTTCCATTCTACGTGACTTTACCGAAAGAACCAAGAAGATAAAACTCAACTATTATTTAATTTCACCAGGTAAGGCCCATTGAGCTGTATGGCTCTTTTTTCAGAAGCGACCTGGCCACGAATGACAGCTCAACGAAGTGGGTTATCGCGTGGGAATTTGATAGTAGCCGAATAATCTTAACGCGTGTTGATTGACTCTAATTGTGGAGGGAAAAACCGGAGGACCCGGAGACAATTCCACGCAACCACGGTGAGAACACACAAACTCCAAATATACAGCAGGCGTCAGGGTCGGGATCGAACCCACGACCTCCTCTGTACCAGAACCACCGTGCTTTGTCATCGTGATGACATCTTGATGATTGCTCTATCAATCACCCACAGGGCATCACTAATGAGTAGACCCATGCAATTCGCCGGCAATGAAGCTTTGCAACTCATCCGACAAAATGCAACTAAACTATTACATGTGTCTAATGGTGTTATAATGACAGCTAGGGGGCTGTAATATTCTTGCCATTGATATTCAAAAGACTCCCTTGCAATTCAATATCATTTTGGTACCCGGCAATAATATAGGATGATCCATTTATAGATACATGATGACATCTAATTACCCTCTTACTATCTTCTCAACAATGTCGTAAGCAAATTATACTGGCTATGTTGGAAAACATGTAGCAGAAGTGTGTTCAAATATTTTACAAGTGTATTGAGATTAGTGGAAGATGTAGAGAGGCTTTGATTAAAAGCATTGTTCTCTCTGTGTCTCGATATTACTTGAAATTGAGTATCTCAGACTCAAGACTTTATTCCAGCTTGTAAGGGCCATTGAGCTTAGTAGCTCTTTTACAAAGACGACCAGCCCAAGACTGTTGGCAGTGGTGTCAGTTACAGGACACTGCAGGGTAGGAATATGCAAAGTAACAAGAACACATTGTGTCTGTGTGAATCTATACCGTCGCCTGTGGGACATGCTTTTTTGTTTGCTGTGTCTCTGGGGTAGTTCTCACCACCACGCTACATAGGGGCGGTGCCAGGCTGCATGGCTCCAGCTGGAAGAGGGCCTCTCGCAAACGCCGTGTCCTTTCCGTCGTCGCCAAACCTCGTGTCCTGGGGCCAAGAGACTCCACACCTGGTGGTCACCTACCAGCACACCTGGACACAGGTGAGCGAGTTGTTGCTGTGCCGGCCAGCACCACAGGAATAAAGGTAGTCTCCGAGTTACGATGGTCCGACTTACGATATTTTCGACTTACGATGGGGTCATCGTAATGCATCTCCATCGTAAGTAGAGGACTACCTGTACCTGCTTCGACAACACATGATGCAGCTTGTCCGAAGATAGCTCTATGCACGAGTCAATGAAAATGTTATTTTGAATGTCATTCATATTTTCAAGAGCAACGGCCAGTGCAGAGAAACACAACAAACTGGCCTTCTCATCTTCCGGGTGACCGAGCACCAAAGAGCATATTCGTAGTGATCCCCAGCTGTGATCTGGGATGCGATAGAGAGACGAGAGAGGAAGATGAAGGATAGAAGAGAATAGAAGGACAGAAAAAAATGCCAGTAAATGTTTAAGTGGCTGTATAAATCAGAAAATGCACAGAGCAGCAAATAAAAGTCTTGCCTGGTGAACTGCAAGTTATTTTTGGCTGGTCATTTGCATTTTGTTGGCCTGTCTTCACAGTTAATGGGCATTTTTGTATAAACTTACATTTTCTTTTCATGGCTCCATTAAACTGGAAATGTCCTGGCGCAGCATTTTCTCGTTACATGTGAAACAGCTGGTGAACAATAATAAAACAGTTAATGCCTCGAATAATTCGAACATCTGCAACACGCTGGTTAGACGTTTTGGCAGTAGACGGAAATATTGCTGCTACGTTGCCGTGAATGTAAATGTCAGTGAAAGTGTTTTTTCCGATGGAATCACCGATCTCGGTTATCTGAGTTTTTGCTGTTACTATTGCTTTGCTTCTTTAAGTGAATGGCTTGCTTTTGCTGTTTTTGTATTGAATGAACGCAACTTTTCTCCTTTAGGCGTCAAAACTGGACAAGAGACTTAGTGCTGCTGGAAGTGACTATGACAACACTCAAAATGAAGAGGAGCAAAATAACACGGGGTATGGAAGTCGGCCTTTCCTTAACCATACCGACCAATGAACCCTTCACGTAGCACATGCGCCGTTATTTTCTCGAGTCATTTATTATTGACGCACGATTAAACTCGAGCGACGCAAAAAAAAAATGTCCTTAGAAGTCGGGGGGGATTTGTAAATGTAACATACATCGCACACCAGGGGAAAACCCATCGCACCATTATCAGAATGTGTTTCCGATGCATTCAAAATAAAAGCTTACCTTGTGACGATGAGACTCCCGGAGGAATCTCGCCGAAACAACGTTATGGATTTTCCTTTTTGTGAAATTGGTCGCAAGGTCACGTTTCAAAAATGTATCTGCTGCCGCGGTGGAAAGGTTTCACGCTGTCCGGACTTGCGAGTCCAGCGGTCGCCCCATTCGATCTCTCGGCACGGCAGTTTGAGATGATGGACAAGTTTCTTAAACCCACCCACAGGGTGGTACCATTCACCGCTGAGGCGTAGCGCCGTTGTTTTTAAAGACACTGCACTCCCCGCAGAGTTCTGTAGCGACACGATGATAGCTGGCGCCAAACTGTGTCACACACCCTCCCGCATGGCCTTGTGGGAGCCTCGGTACCGATAAAGTTATTTTAAGTACACGTACGTCATCGGAATGGGAAAGGGTTAAGTGCAGCCTTCCCACACCGCTGCGTATGCCCCCCCTCTCCCCCGCTTGTAATTGGTGATTGTGAGCAGCAGCGGGACCAGCATTGGCACGAAGCGGGTGAGGTGCGACGGGCAGGCCGGGGCCTCCCCGCTCGGGGATGGCGCCGGTGTGGCGCAGTGTCAGGAGTTGAGCGGAGAAGTGGACCCTTCGCTTCCCAGCCCCGAGGACGTGATCCACAAGACGGAGCACATCACCAAGAACATCCAGGAGCTGCTGCGGGCGGCGCAGGAGAGCAAGCACGAGAGGTGCGCGTGTCTCCGCATTCTCTCCGCGTGAGCCACGGTCCCGGCGGGTTTTATGCTCGCCGCCTTTTCAATGAAGTTCGCTCGCGTGGTACGGGGAAAGTAAACGCGTCGTAAACACGCGGTGGGAGAGCACATATCCTCCGCGCTGAAGAGGAAGAGGCCACGTTGTGCACATGCATGCATCTCAAGAAGTTTAGTTTCCGTTGATTGTAAGTGCAAGTTACTTTTGGCACGAAAGATAATTAATTGATCATTTCCAGGAGTTGCTTTAATGCATGCCAGCCAGCGAGTATCCACTTGAAACAAAATGTGACCCACGAGGATCTGGTGAGCATTCTGAACAATGGGCGTCTGGATGAGTTGTGCGCTTGCGGCTTGTGTGTTTTATGTCCATCGGCCATATGCTATGCAGAGTGTTTTGCTTTGCATCCTTATGCCGAACTTTTTTTCAGTGAAAGAAAAATCACAGTTTTTTCACTGAGTGGCAATGGAATTGCAGGCATTGGAATGAGCAGAACACGGTCCCTGTATCAAAGATAAAATGCATAGCTGGTGAAGAGAGCACACTGCCAGACACCCTGAATTTTTGGTAGCATCAGAGGACCACTTTAGACATCTGCTTTTTAATTGATTGGATCCTGCTGATGCCAACCAGTGCTGCCAAGCAGGTGTTATGGTGATGCTCCTTTCAAGTGGCATCCTGTGGTCTGTGGTAGTGGATAGATATGATGATTTTTAGACAATGTAATCAATTGCAGAGAGCTTCAAAATGTAAATTTTGAGATGCCTGTCATAAGGTTTCCGAAGATTACCGTGACACTACTGAGAAAGTAAACTGAAGCTTTTAGTTGATGTTCCTGCTTTCACGTGATGCAGGTGACGCATCGGCATGGCTCTCCTGGCCACGCGCTGAGCTTCACTGCGTTCTCTCCCTGCCTCCCCTCCTTTCAATTCCCTCCCATACGCCTCCCCCCCCCCCCTCATCTTTGTACATCTTCACTAATCACGATATCTTCTTGTCCTCTCGCTTAGTTCTACACCGCAACCTTTCCACTCTCCCCATTCCTCTTTTCCATCAACTGTAACCTCCATTACAACGGTCAAATGTCCAAACTAACCTCTTCTCTGCAGCCATCAATATCTTCCCCATCTCTTGCCCCGGCCCCTTGCCTCGTCCTGTTTTACTTTGTCCCTGTCCCCCCGCCCCGCACACCTCGCACGCGTCTGTCCTTCCACCCGTCCCCCCGCCCTCTCTCGGACTCGCAGCAAGCAGCTGGAGAGGGACAATCTACGGCGCTTCAGGCACAGCCTGGGGTGCTTCAGCAGCCTGGTGCTGTGGGGTGATCGCCCCATGCCCCACCAGCCCACTCTGCAGCCACACAGGCCTAGCTCTCTCGACTGGTACCTCGGACCACACCTGGGTCATACCTCTCTGTTTGGCTTTTTTTTCCGCTTTGCTTTGCTTTGCTTTTCCTTTTCGCCGCTGTCTTTTAACGGACGAGGAATTTGCAAGCCGAGCCCTTTTCTTGTTCTCGTTTGCTTACAAATTCGCTTAACATAGTGAAAGCTATGGCGTGCGATTTGTGTGCTGACGAATGGGCAACTTTGTCTGCAGATAAGTAACCAGGATGTCTAAATGCCCTGTCCGTCACCATGTAAATTGCACCCTGTGTGTTTGGGTGTTGTTGTTTTCACTTTTAACATGAAATTGCTAGTGTTGGATGCGTGCGTACGTAAACTTTGCTTGTTTTTTTGTTTCAGTTGGAGATTAAAAGCATGAGATATCCGAGAGCGCAACTTCACATGTCCTAAATCAAAACCGTTGCTCCAGCAACACGTTGCCTCAAACATTGTCATTTTTTTTCTGTCTCAAAAATCTCTTTTCTCCCCAGCTTTGTGCCGTGTTCAGAAAAAATATCTGCAGCAGTATACGAGATGGCAGCTCTATTCCCTAAGGTAATGACAGCTTTTCATTTATATTAGCAGCTTTCACATTCCACGAGTGTACACATATGGGTAGATTAGGATGTTGTTGTTGTGTTATCATTTTCGTTTTTCCAATTTTATTCCAATTGTGCTGATTTGTGTCACTTACCATCTGCTCATGAGACTAAGAAATGTCCACGAAGAACTGTCAAGACAGGACAGTGCATCACCTCATGCTAGAACAGAAGATGATAACACAACTACTAAGATGCCTGCAAAGTTACCTTTTATTATACCAAGGATTCAGAACCACAAGTTCTGGTTTAGAGATGTTCATATTACAACAGTCAAATTCAATCTTTTTCGATTTAAAGCTTTCGTGACTGCAGGGATTCATCTTCTTGGTTCTTTCGGTAAAGTCACGTAGAATGGAAATAATAAAATAATAAAATTTAAAATAATAAAATAATTCTCACGACGTTTCGGCCAGACTCTGTCTTCTCGAGAATTATTTTATTATGTAAATGAGAGATTACAGGAGATACCACAGCTGTCGGGCTGTGACGGTTCCACCTGAAGACGGAAGCTTGTGTTGCCTCCGAAACGTCGTGATTTTCATTTTATTTTACTTTTATTAATTTTAATTTTTTACCTACGTGACTTTACCGAAAAAACCTAAGAATATGAATCCTTGTAATCACGAAAGCTTCAAATCTAGAATTTGTTTGTGAGTGTTCGCGAGCGCCGAATCTGCATCCTTGGACCCACAGAGGCCGGCGCTGGAGGCCGTGCGCTCCTCGCTGCGGCTACTCACGAGCAGCGCCGCCCGCCTCGCCACCGAGTGCCGCAAGACGGCCGCACCGTCGGGCCCCGGCCTGCCTCCTGTGGACCTGCAGCTGCTCACGCAGCAGGTGATCCAGTGCGCCTACGACATCGCCAAGGCCGCCCGCCAGCTCGTCGCCATCACCACCAACGAGGGCGGCCAGTGACCACCGTGTCCGACCCCGAGGCCCACCTCCGTGCGGGTTGGGCTCACGGGGAAATGCTGAAGGGCGGGTGGCTGGATTTGAGGCCTCTTGTACCTCTTTTCCAACTGTACAACCGAACCGCACCAAGGCCATGTCGAGCCAGTCCGGCACGGCTCTGGAGGTGCCCACGGTGGTTATTCCACTGCGGAAGCCGGGTCGTGCCATTGCCGTCAAACGCGGTGAACGTGTTGAAATGCGTGTATTTGATTTGCCGACGCTATGTCCTCACAGTGTAGTGACTGACATCACACACAATGAATGGATCATTAGACACACCCTTGGTCCTGCTTGATTCAAAATGTCATGCGAGGCCCACCAATACCATGGTTTGGTTCCAGCTCGGCATGTCAGGTAGGCAGTGGAAAAACCCACCTTGTACCGTGAAGGGCCCGGGCTGGCGTGGCTCGGATGTGCAAGTGGAACGTGGGTATTAGATACCTGGGCTTAATCGCCTGGGGATAAAGAGCAATAAATGCGAGAGCAAACATTGTATTATTGATCTCAGGCTCTGTGTGGTCACTGGCGACCGCACAGATGTGGCCCAACATGACAGTTTGTTTTGACTCGGTGATTACTCATCTCTGGGAGTATAAAGCAGTGACAAATGTGAAATGGTTAATGTCCGCAGCAGTTGCTGCATGCTCTGGCCAGTGTGGTTTATGCTATGACGAGCAGTCTTGTGATGTCTTGGGTCGGAAGCTTTCCTAATCGAGTATGTGAGCATTTGTTTTTTTGCTGGACATTGAAAGTTTGGAAATGGTAAATGCTGTGATATATTTCGCAATATCGCCAAATATATATATTTTAATGATAAAAAAATAACATGCATACGTGGCATTAACTTCCTAAATTTTCTATTCTAGAGTTGCAATTCTTTGGGAGGTAAGGGGGACATGGGTTATTTTGGTAATCTTCAAATTTGTACTTTTTTATGCCATGGGATATCCTTTAACTCAAAAGGCAAATCATGTTAGTGACTATTTGAGCCCTGCTCATTATGCCTGCTTGTTTAGCGCTCTTTGTCTGTAGATGACTCGGCTTCATCGTGCTGCTTTGCCTGTGTACTTGTACTTGAATTGTTGACTTTTACTGTTATTTGACTCGGACGTTGATGTTTCATCATTGACTATGACAGTGGTTGAAATGGCCACTCTCAATAGACAGCGACCACAGCAGTATCTTATGATGAGTTTTACTCGGTGAATTTAGGAATAATACTGGAATTGTTCCTTTTTTAGAAGGCAATTTTATTAAATGTGTGTTTAATAAAATTAAAATACTCTGTGCCATGCTGCTGAATATAGCAAATGTGGTTTCATTATACGGGGCCTGATTATGGCCCCCTTTTTAAAAATCAATCTCTCCAAAAACATCCCTTGATTTATGACCTTGGTTTCTGACCAGAACACTGATTCTCCTAGCCCAGGTTGATTCGTGGTATAAGTGATGCTAACCTGCATTTTTTGTAGAGTTGAAGCTGAAATGTTGCCAAGAAGTCACATGACTAAAGGGCTCATGACGACGGCTTATGCAAGTCTGATCTCAGATCTCGGAAGCTGCACAGGACAGAGCCTAGTTAGTACTTGTGTTGCGGCGCAATGTACGACTCCGAGGCAGGTTCCGTTAGGGGCTCACGCCAAGTTTATTTAGGGTTTTACGCCGAACCAACCCCCCCCCCCCGAGCCTATAACCAGAGGTGTGGACTCGAGTCATGTGACTTGGACTCGAGTCAGACTCGAGTCATGAATTTGATGACTTCAGACTCGACTTGGACTTGCATAACAATGACTTTGTCCCACCTGTGAGGTGTGGACTCGAGTCATGTGACTTGGACTCGAGTCAGACTCGAGTCATGAATTTGATGACTTCAGACTCGACTTGGACTTGCATAACAATGACTTTGTCCCACCTCTGCCTATAACTCCCCAGGGTACAGGGGACTGTGATCCCTCCAACCCCGGCTAACTCGGCTCTCCTCCCTGCCCCGGGCCGGGACTACCCCAACCTCGGCCGGTTGGGCGGAGTAGCCTCCCCTAGCCTCGTGTGAGGATCAACTACCACGAGTCCCCACTCCTACCCTCGACAAACCCCGGTTACCTCCCGGGCCCCCCTTTAAATACCCCCTCCCCCCCCGGGGGCATGACGTCACGTTCCACTCAGAGGGCGAGCGTGACGTGACGTCACCCACTACTCCCCTACATTGGGATGGGTAACTGTCAGGACTTGCCAGGTGTTGTCGCCACGAGGCTGTGAGGCAGAGGTCGCAACCGGGTACCCGATACCCGGCTACCCGTACGGTACGGGTACTCGTTTGCGATCCTGGTGCGGCCGGGTACGGGTATGGGTAGGCCGTGAGTCACTGGTGAGTAACTGTTTGTCACTCATTTCCCAACGTCTTGTCTCTTCTCACAATTCAAGTTCCTAGAATCAACCCACCCGCGCCTGCAACATGGCTTCATCCCAGAGGTCGCAATCAGGTACCCGATACCCGTTTGCGACCCTGGTGCGGCCGGGTACGGGTAAGGAATCGAAACCCGTTTGCGACCTCTGCTGTGAGGTGGCCAGGAGATTACTGCAATCCTACAAACCCACGGAGTGTTGCAATCTTGCATGCATATGTGTTCTCCGAGTACTCCCGGTTTCTTCCTGCAAGCCAAAAAAATAATTCTAGGAATTGGCAAAACGTCCTGAGTAAGTAATTGCCGTTCTTTAATTGTAAGAAGCATTCTTTTCCCATAATTTAGATTTGAAAGGTCTCAATATTAAATCAATCTCTTTATATATGTATGTATAACTAGTCGTTTTATTTCCCTAATAGGTGCAAAAATGTCGCTAAGTTTGCTTAAGGTGGGTCCAGTTCTATTAACGACCACATTGAGAGTGGAGCTCTGACGTGGGTCTTGTTAACAGAACGGCAGTGCCTTCACAATCGCAATAAAAGTGCCATATTTTGGCGTATAGGAATAAAAAAAAACCTGTTCTAAATCTGGAATCTCTTCATTTCGTGTGTGATTTCCGAATAACAATTTATGCCAGTTCCACAGTGTAACATAAAAATGGTTGAAAAAAAAATCCTGATAAGAATATGAACCCTTTTCGCATTCTTCCAGAAGGGGGTTTCCTGTCAACCAATTTTTCGACTTGAGAACTTAAAGGGCACAACATGAGAAAGCCGATTACAATGTGGGGAAATATTTTTAAGACACGCGGAATCTGACGGTGGGATGGGCAAGTCCGTGTGTGTGGTGTGACAGTGTGGATACTCGTGCCTCTTCCAAGCGTGGCCAGCATGGAAGAGTAGGCCAAACGCCCTCTAGGAGGGGTTGCTTTTAGTGCATCCCTCCAGTGGAGGTGCCTCCGTCAGCAGTGGTGTGAGGAAGCAATTGCTGCACGTTTATCTCCGAGCAGTCTTAGAAAAAACACACAAAGTCGTGTATTAACCATTGCACACAGGGACAGATCATGTCCATCAGACGCAAGGTTTGTCCACCTGTACAAAAAGTCGTTATTTTGTTCTTGTAGCCACCTTGTTGCCCGATCACACCCTGTATTATTATTATACGTTTTGTTTACTTGAGCGCCACAGCAGCACGTTCAATATCAACCAACAACAAAGCTGTCAAGCAATTTAACGTCTGACAGAGTACATGTGTTTTTGTTGGGTCACACTGACTTTAAGGATAAGCTGACACAGCATTAAGCGCCACACTGTGTTTCCTTTGGGAATATATGTTTACAAATTAGTCGCATTTCACTGGCAAGAGACATTAACTCATGTTCAGAAACCCTTTCTAGAGGCCCGGCACTTAGGAACCATACATGTTGTAGCACTAAACGAAAGCCTGTTGATTGGCTTTGACACATACTACCATTTAAAAACAAATAGATTTCTAACACTTGACTTGCTACTACTGACAAACGTAAATATTGGCATGTTGGTGCATTAATAATGTTTAGAAATACTACTGAATTATATTTCTCTTTTATATAAATATACACGTGTGGTGTTGGAACTGGAATTGTTTTAGATAGAATGAAACTAAGTATATAAGCATCTTAACCTGAATAGCTGTACCATGTTGGGCGAGTGTACTATTTCCGCTTCTATTTAAAACACACGCTGACTCGAGAAATGCGCGTTTAACACGGTGGAATTCAAATGCTCTTCACTATTCAAATCTCGTTTTGACCAATAATGCTACGAGAGAAGCATCTCATCTATGTTACACTTCAATGGCTGGAGAACTGAGATATGGGTGTTTGAGAACTACTGTTTTAAACTATGACAACATACTGTCACTTCTGTTTTATGTTAAACAGTTGGAATGTAAGTGAACAAATCTTGTATGGATATGGACTGGAAAAATAAACAATTTTAATGTTGTGTTCATTGTTTTTTATTGATTCATTGCAATGTTTTTTTTTTATCCTGGTTCAGTATATAATAATACAACCGGCATGGATGCCACAAGGTTAAGTATATGTAGATGTTGCAAATGTGATGATGGTGCTTTCCAAAAGTTGGTGCCTGTTAACTCATCACATTGAGATGAGGGTGCGTGGCACAAAGTTGCAGTGCCTCCAGTTCGCTGTTTTGGAGTGATTTGTGAATTTCCCAATGATGAAACGGACCCAAGCAGGTGGCCAATTAAGAGTCACGTGATTCATCTTCTTGGTTCTTTCGGTAAAGTCACGTATAATGGAAATAATAAAAATAAAACAAAATAATTCTCACGACGTTTCGGCCACAACGCAAGCAGCCGTCTTCAGGTGAAGAACAGGTCTGTCGATAAGACAGAGTCTGAATGACACGTCCTAGGCTTGGAGCGTCTATTTAAGCTGGGAGGGAGGAGGAAGAGCGCCTTGACAAAATAATTCGCATATCAAGAGGAATTTTTGCATATTTATGGGAAATGTAAATCCCTGCAGTCACGAAAGCTTTAAATCGAAAAAAGTCACGTGATTGTGACACGTGCCCCTATGAGGAAAGTGATCCGAACAGGTGGCCAATTAAGAGACAAGTGATTGTGACACGTGCCACTGAGGAAAGGGATCCGAACAGGTGGATATTTCAAAGTCACATGATTGCGACACGTGCACCGATGAGGAATTTGATGGCAAACACGTAGATAATTAAGAGTCCGTGAATGTGACACGTGCCCCAATGAAGAGACGGACCTAGACAGCTGGCCAATTAAGAGTCACATGATCAGGGAAAGGGAGATTATAAATAAAACACGGAGGAGCAAGGCCCGGTAGAAGAAACAAGACGACAACGCCAGCAGAAGAACCAGAATCCAGCCGAGGTGAAAGGGGGAAAGGCAGAGCTCCCTAGCTGGCTTAGTTTTGCAATTGAGTGCATTGTTTCGTACTGCGTGTTGGTTGTCTAAAATCATATTTTAGCCTTAAAAATCCTGTAATCATGAGGTCTTGAATGTTAAAATATCAATGCCCATTGTCTCTAACCCGTTGTTCCTCGCACTGCTCAGCCGTGTTCCCAGGTTGAGGTAGAGCTGCCACTGCCAGACATGCGATTTGACCGAGTCCAGTCTCCCAGCTGTGATGTTTTGCACCCAATTCTCATGTACACCTCGGCTGTGTATCATGACCGTGTCTGTGGCCAAGGCTCATGATAACAGGCCAGGGCTTTTGGGCTGTTCTTCGTATTTTGGAATCCCTGACTCGCTGCTCACAATAATTAAGGGCCTTCATGATGGTGGGCAGGCCCGGGTAAAGCCACGTGGCAAGGAGTCTGAGACATTCCCAGTTCACCTTTGGTTGCGACAGGGATCGTCTCCGACTCCTAGATTGTTTAACATCACTTTTGCCACGTAGTTCGATAAGTTTTCCTGGGTTGTACTGCAGGAATTTTCATCTGGTACGGATATAATGGGACTGCTGATCGATGCCCGGGTGTGGTTGAGTGATGGCTCCCTTTTGATCAACCATGTTTGCCGATGATGGCTGCTTGGAGGAGTTGGAGGTGCTGCTGTTGAACATGGAGTGTGCCACTAAGAAGTGGTCTTGCCATCAGTCCCACCAAAACTAAGCACTTGCCTGGGATTTTGTCCCATCAAACACTCCACCCTCAACCCCCCCCCCCCCCCCCCCCCATTGGTGATGGAGTTGTTCAAGTGGGTAGAGTACTTATAACTTGCTCCAGTTTGACAGCAGAGGTCTCACTTCGCATCAGTCGGGCAGTATATATTTTCATCTGCTGCGTAATTGTCGAAGCTACCTGGTCTGTTGCTCCACACGAAGCTTTGGGGCTTCTCAGCTGTTGATGCCCTCCGTGCACTACGCTTGTGAAACGTGGACCCCTCGAATAGAACGTGCTGGTTAGAAACATTCAGGCTGGCCTGCTTACGATCCATCCTGGGTTTAACCAGGCTAGATTGTGAAGCGCTCACAAATTCTTGAACGATATGGACACATTCCCAGGAGTGAGCTGAAATGTGTACAGGTCTCAGAGGATCACCAGTGTATTCCTTTATGGGAGTATACAGCTTCACCGTGTGGTCCCTTAGTAACTATTAGCTGTGGTTGCACTCCAAAACAGATTGTGGCATTTGGAAGTCCTCTTTGGGATTGAGGTTCATGGCTGCATCTTGAATAACGTGAAATGCCAGTTACCGCCACAAAAAAAAATTGAATACACCCAAGGGCCAATTTTGATGTGCTACAAGGGTTGGTTTTCAAAAGCAAACGTGTTCTCTTCAAACAGAAGTAATTAACCTATGATCATGGGTGTGAAGTGTTGATAGTGTCATTCAGTCCAGGATGGTGGAGTGCAATGTAAAACCACAAAGCGGCGATGCCTTTTGTTGCAAGAAGAAAATACCGCACAATTATTTACCAATATTTCTATAAATCTTCATAAAAATAGGAACTGAATACACAGGTTGATACGTTTCTAGTTTTATTTCATGTTTGGACATCATTGGTGACTGTTGATGCTGTAACTCATTACATAGCAATGACCTTCATATATACTGTATATACAACTTACAATTGGATCTGCATTTACATGTATGCCTTCAGTATCACAAGTCTGCCACATACCCTTCTTCCACTTAACCCTCAAGGATATAGAGTACTGCTTATCAAGTTTATGGGACAGCAATGTGTAGCCCAACAAAAGCCTCTAGACAATGATTAATCTTGTCACTTATAAAATCCTATGTTAATTAAATAGTGCTAAGTGACTAAATTTAATCAATTACATTTTAAGACGGGTGCATTCTAATTCACTAACATTACATAAGCTGTAGAGATTCTAAAATACACAAATGGGCTCTGAACTGCAAGTCTTCTGGGTTGTAGCAGCACATGCCTTGCTACTCAAGCTCAACAGTAACTGCATTGAGAAGTGATGTATTAATACTACACCAAAGTTGTACTGGGTGGCAATATTCGGTTAAATTGACTTCAACACAGGACAATGCAATAAAAATGTGCCACATGCTGCAAGATGCAAAAAAAAACCATTGTAAGATTGGTACAATCTGAACAGCTACACAATGGATTCAAATGTACATTTCAATTTGTTTACTTAAAAAAATGGTGTTTACATGAAACGGTGCACAACTAGCCAATGCAATGACCGAGGCCATAATGCAGCCAGGCTCTTGATGCACCAAAATGTGCTAGAAACACAAACTGCAACGTAGTTTCTTAATGCTCGCAGCACAAAAGCAAAGCTTGTGGATTAGTTTATATAAACTTTTAACTGCCATCCTGCTGCATGCCACAACTCATTTACAAATCCCTACCTTGACTCTTAAAGCTACAACATCGCAATCATAAGCAGCTTTCAATAAACTCCACACAATACGTATGCCTAGCTCGGTGCTAAACCATTTAACAATCCTATGCAGAAAAGCAGTACACGATTGCTACTTCTGGAAGGGTAGTGATAATTATATATACACTATAGCATCAATGGCACATTATAAAGTTAAAACTACAGCAACAAACACCTCGTAAATTAAAATCTGCAAGTCATCTGCAATGTTCATGGGCGGAGATGTACCTCACTACCCTGATCGTCCCTGAACTGTACATTTCCTTTAAGCAACTTCAGAATTCGGAACATTGTTCCACCAGAGCACTATTTATACACTCATGAAAAGGAACTATTACAGATGACCCATCTTTATCCAGTGTAACTACCAATGTCATTATTATTGAATGGCATGACTTATACAATTGTGGTCAGAAGACATTTGACGAGGGAAAGTGCATTGAAAGAAATTTATCACTGAACTTTTATCATGTAAAACGGTGCCACATTTGGGACAAAATACCAACACCAAATTTGTACTGCAAGTTCCTATGTCCACATGACAATATAGGCATGGAAAAAAACTTCACCAATCACCACAAAAACTTCACCAATCACCACAGCAAATACAACCAAAAAGTGTTTGTCAAAAATGATAATTTTGCAACACATTTGCTTAACTCTTGTTCACAAGTCTCCTTGCTTGGGGGAAAACAAATGTTTTTTGATCAACTCTTAAGTTTCTCAAAATGACAACTCATGGGAATAATCCTAAACCACCACCTGCTTAATTAGCACTGCCCCCCTTAGAGGTGCTTTGCCTCGTGTACCTTGGAATGCAAGCGTAATCTTCGCGAATGTTCGAAGTGAAAGTGCCATACCCGGTCGCCCCCATGCCAACCAAGGTATGTGTGGAGGGAAACCAAGCAAGCTCGTGACGTCGGCAAGTATTATTTTAGCTGGGGCCAATGCATGGTGATATTGGAACACCCAAGTAACTTTAGTAAAATCGAGTGAACCTGAATGATCTCATCACTCGATTTTAGCTTTATGTTGGGGAATGTGTCGTTTAGTAAAAAAAAAGGTGTGCTAACCAAATAATTAGTGTTAAGAGTATGTTAAAGGAAATTGAATATGGTGAAAGCAAGAAGTTAACAAAGTTGGGATACTAATGTCACTACTATGAAGGTTGTAAAAAATTTAAACATGCCACAAATACATTGCAGTTTTAAAACAAACCTGATAAAACATGTTTAGTACCAAGGTCAAGTTTAGATTTAAATTTATTCCTATGGAATACCATTGTTATTTACACTTTGTTATGTACCAAGTGAAACCCGTCTGGCAGAGGTAGGGTAATGTTGAAATAATGAAATTCTAAGGAATTTAAATGTCCTTTCACTTTATGATTACAGAATATAAAATGTTTCTCTCAGACTATGAATATGCTAAAAATTAGATTTTGCTGGTTGCCACATTAATTATCGATGGTGATGCACATGACTCCCGAGTTCCCGTAAACACTGAAACTACCTGGGATACTTTCTGGCAAATCATGATTACATTGTTGCACGAGCATGCTGCATTGGAAGTCTATAGAATAAGAAACATTGATTTATCGGACGTAAAAATATGGAAATTTGTAACTTATAGCTGTTTTTATTACGTTATGATGGGGAATGGCATGATAACCATGCATGTCATACCTCCTTATACGCCAGTGTCACAATGTGATGGCAGCACTACAGAATTAATGGGTTAGCCTACTTAAGTATTAGAGTTGAAGTATTTTTACACAATTTCTTGGCCATTAAGGATAGTGTGTTTACAAGGCTCTCAACAGCAGTAAAATAAGTTGTACAGCAGAATTAAACCTGCAAAGGAGAATATTCTTTAATTTGCACATGAAACTAAATTTTGACCTCATGGAGCAGAAAACACAGCTCCCATATCATTGTCATAGCTGCCAAATTACCATGCTCATGACATATATGCCCATAGGCATTAAAACACTGCCACATGACCACCACAACTTTGACAGCCTTTCTGAAAATGCTTCAACTGCACACACACTGACAACCCCACTCTGCAGCCCAGGAGACTGCAACGGAACACTTTCATAGTTGAAGAACATAACAGTAATGATGTTTTAAAATACTTTTGGGAAGATGACAGAAACATGGAAAGAAGAACACATTCCTGCGGAGGGAGTTGGTAGGAACGTTGGGTTGCTCGGTCAATGGCGGCGTGGTGTATTCCGCAAATATGGCCGACTGAGTAGGTTAAACGTTGACTTTTATAAGGGCACCACGGGGTGACCAGCCCCTCCCCACCCAGCCCCTCCCCACCCCCTCCCCACCCAGCCCTTCCCCACCCAGCCCCTCCCCACCCTCCCGACCCAGCCCTTCCCCACCCTCCCCTCTCTACCCAGCCCCACCCCTCCCATTTTTGGATGCACGACGGACACACAATAATCCCCTGTGGGCTAGTGGAACCAGGTGGTTTCTACCAGTAAGGAAACTAAGTGAGGAAACTAAGAGGTGGTGGTGATGATGATGATCACACCGCTGTGCTGACAGATGCAGCACTCTGGCTACTCTTGCTGCGTGTGATGCGTCCCTCCCCAGTGCAGGCCGCTTCGACCGCCGCTGCTTCGACTGCTGCAGCGTCTTCGCCACCATCACTGTTGGGCTGAGACATTAGCAGCGCCATCGCACTGCCATCGGCGCAAGGGGACACCACGGCGACGGCTGTGCTGCCCGCCTCGGGGTGCACCGGCCCCTCGGGACCACAGCCCAGTGCCATCCCTGCGTCATCCGCTAAGAGGCGGTGGTAGCGTTCCCCATCGCCTAAAAAGAACACAAGGGCATGTGCACACACCTTGGAGCAGTGGTTCTTAACCTGGGGTGTGCACACCCCATGGGGCTGTGAGATGCCCTTTATAGATGTGTGAGACATGAAACACAAATTAAACACGAGCACGTAAATACAACTATTGTTTCATCAAACCGATATATTTATAAACACTTTTTTAACGGTTGAAAACCCAAAGAGGTGCAAAGCTGTAGTAAAGATTAAGAACCACTGCCTTAAGAGAGTACCTTTTGGCAAATGGATGTGGAGGTGCAGAATGCCTAATTCATATTTTTTGACCGTGTTATTTTTTAATTCCCTGGTCATTAAATGAACACTGTCTCATACAATTCATAAAGATGTCTTACCAAGACTGAGAACATCTGCAATATAGGTCTATATAAATATCTCAAGAGATGCTGGAGTGTAGAGTACATTAATACCTTTAGGAGGGCTTCAAACTCCCAAGCCATGATATTAACATTTTCATATTGGACACCAATAGTGTGACACCAGTATGCGATCACACCAGGGGCTGTCAAGCTTTACCAACTCACATTCCACCAGCCCACTGCTGGGACCCATGCCCAGTGAGACTGTGTGAAAGTAACAGCTGGTGACGTCTAAGTCAGGAGGTACAAACCCTTGCCAAGAAACAGGGTGTCTTAAACATTGCAAAAGTCACGCTGGCGAAGATGTGCATTGGAGTAAGCGTTACATTTGGTATGAAGGTGTGTTGGTGTGGCTTGGCCAGCTCACAGGGTGATGGTATTAAGTAGCAGACGTGAGGGCAGGCAGGCGCCTTTTAGTTGCCGACTCCACTTTCCTACCCTCTACTTATCTCTACCAACCCCCCTCACTTCTCCATGGTTGGTGCTGCGCAACCACACACCAGTATCAGCAGCTGGTGTCGGAGCAGTGCTGACTGCCAGTTCGTAGGCTGGTGGAGGGTCCTCAGGAGGTGGGGGTGAGTCGGGAGACTTGTAAGCCGTGTAGGGCGGGGGCGGTTCGCTGAAATGGAAGGCTCCACCCTCGCCGTCATCGGAGAGGTGCAGTGGCGTGAAGCCTGTGCCCAGTGACTCGGGGCCCAACTCAAAACCATGCATGCGGCCTCGACCCAAACCTAGGTGGTGCACTGCACAAAAAGACAACCGCCGCTGTTATAGCATTACGCACTGCTGGAACAAGAAATAATAATAAAAATCCTGGCCAATTTTGTCTCCCCAATATGGATGTTTACTCAGCGCATCAGGTATTTCAGGCAGAGTCAACCTCGGAGGCTGAGTACCAATTCAGATAATCACGAGTGATGTTAACTGTTCTGAATTAAACTCGGTCCTCTAGGTTTGCAGAACAAAGTTCACACACTGAATTTGAATCGAGGGCAATTACCTACTATAATCGCCCAGAAATCTGTGTCCTGCGTGTGACGTCACTCCATATGAGGCCCACCCCACCTCATTAATATTCATGAGTGGGTGGATTTTTACACTAATGCAGAGGAAGGTCGATCTGAATTAAATAATTTATTATGTAAAGTCGCTTCAAATGACGTTTCTTTACAGAAAGTGACGCAAAAAAAATATACGCAACAGGGCTACATCCGTGCGTGACGTCACTGCAAAAGAGGGCCCCCCCCCCCCCCCCTTCATTAATATTCATGCCCGTGTGAAATTTACACTAAAGCACAAGGTCGCGCACTCAACATTCTGCTCCCCTCCCCAATAACCATTAGCGGATGACATCACTCCACATAGGGCAACCCCCCCTCCCCCCTCATTAATAATCATGAGCTGAACAATTTTTCTATTGAACATTTCAGATTTACTGCAATATACACCTGTCCTTGGACGGACAAAAAAGCTAGTGATACCAGATTTAGCCTGCTAACACACGCCTAAATCTACACAAAGGACCCATAAACCCTCAATGCTGAGTAGCCCTAAAGCATGAATTGGTAATATTTGAAAATAAACACTCAAGCAATGTCTTCATCCTGTAAAATAATTAGCATTTTTTTAGACAACTACCTAAAGTAAAATTTTCTATAACACTTAAATCTACAGGAGGATGTTGCAACAAGTTTAAAACCATTAATGCTGTAAGAATTATTTATCCTACCCCTTGATAAACTGTAAATTTAGGGTTTATTGCATTCATTTCTTTATATTGTGGCAAATTTAGCTAATTACAATGCGCATTGAAATGTTGATTCTCATTTGCAATGAAGGGCTACACCCGAAAATAAATTGGTGAACTTGGAATATGCTAAACGTAATGTGGCATTAAAGTAAGACTAAAAAGAAAGAGGCTATGGCTCAATACATTTGAAGTGGCCAAAAAAATTAAGCAATTAGAATAACACTGGGTGAATAGTAAATGACTGTGATTGTTATGTAATGCCCTTTGGATGTGATTGTAGAATTCTGTTAAGTCATTTAGTGTTTCGATTTAAAGCTTTCGTGACTGCAGGGATTCATCTTCTTGGTTCTTTCGGTAAAGTCACGTAGAATGGAAATAACGGAAATAACAAAAATAAAACAATAAAATAAATTCAGACCGTCTTCTCGGCAGACCTGTTCTCCACCTGAGGACGGCTGCTTGCGTTGTGGCCGAAACGTCGTGAGAATTTATTTTATTATGTTTTATTGTTATTCTTTTATTATTTCCATTCTACGTGACTTTACCGAAAGAACCAAGAAGATCATTTAGTGTTATTATTGAGTGTCAATTGTGGTTGGGGTATGCAAAGTAACTCACAGTTGGCGCCTATGAGCGACTCAATGTGCTCGCGTCTCCGCTGACGCAGACGGTGCACCAGGAAGAGGAGGAGAGATAGAATGAGGAAGGAGGAGATGCAGCTCACGATGAGACGCATTCCACTTGCCATCCCATCCAGGAAGCTACCACCAGCTGCACACAAATGCCACCAAAACCAGAGGGACATGAGAAAAACACAAACCTTCCAGCAATAATGGAAGCTCGCAATTATTTCATATCAACGTTGGTTTCACAAGTCCATTCATTGGATCATCTCCTATGGGTGGTAAAGAGCACCCATTGAATACAATTCTCAACAGCTGCCCTTTATAGCAACATCAGGTTTGTACTTTGAATCGGCCACATTTCTGGCGTTCAGTAATTTGTAGTGTGTTGTTGATGAAAAGCTGTGTGTGTAAGCCACCTGGGTCAAGGCAGGTAAACTTGCAGCATTCACGAGGGTCCATCTGGAAACGCTGGCAGGCCTGGGGACGCTCGCACAAGGCAGCGATGCACGTCTCAGCCTCGCCCTTGTGACACTTGCACATGAGGCACGGGTCACTGCCTCGCGGCGTGAAGTCTTGGCCCTCCACCACCACGTTCTCTCGGATGTCGATGCACGTCTTTTCTGCAATTGCACCCACAACATGGGGGGGGGGGGGGAGATTAATCGATGCTCGTGAAAACCGATGAACGATTTTATTTGTTCAACAGGTATACACCATATTGTATATATGTTTAAGTAAATGCTAGGTATTAAGCATGCTACCGATGTTGCCCATTCTATTTGACTTTACAATTTCCCTACTGTGCGAAATCGGTGAAAATGTGCACATTTATTACCCATTCCCGACATATCCCAATTGTGATATGGGCATCATGTTCGTGTTATATAACAGCCCACCGCTGAGGATAAAACTACCTCTTGAGATCCCTTCAAGTGACCTTTGTTTCAGACAGTCAGAACAGCACTTTCCCACCTGTTATGACAGTAAATTTAATTGCATGAGTGACAGATATTTTTTAAATTCTCAGCTAAAATAATTCTTCCCGGGAATTTTGCCCAAATGCACAGCCAAATTTAATGTGTCAATTTTGTCACGCAGTAATTGGCGAGTGGGCTGAGATTATCCACTCTTTACTTGTTTCTCAAGTTTAATCATAGGTGGCTTCCTGGATATGAACCCAGGAGGCTCAGTGATGCCAGCTGTGTGTTCTGAGCCAACTGGCCACTACGTGAAAATTGTTAAATAAGTGGCAACACACTACAAACTACCGCTGGAAATTATGAACTTACCAGCAACATCCCAAAGGAAAGTAAATGACACACTTTAATCTCGGAGTATGTTAAGAAATACAAATAGCAGCCAGCGACTTGCCTTGCTTGCACAGGAAGGGAGCTTTCTGGTTGCAGTTCTCAGCATACCAACTGTGTAGCCCACGGTGCCGCAAGCTTGGGTAGTGGAAGCACTGCAGCTGGCCACACAGCACCTCTGCCTGCTCTGAGATGGCTGCCCCAAAAGTGGGCACCTTAAAGGGGGGGGGGGAAAGTCAAGACGGCCAGTGGTTATGAAATTGCTTTGGGTCAGAATGATTAAACAGGACCCTGCGGGGTGGGCTGGTAGGAATAATACTTAGTACCGGTACAGAGATATCGACCGGGTATAGAGGAGTTAAAGAAAAAATTACTGTATTCTAGTGTAACGTTAATTAAAAGTGTTTGTTTTGACAAGAAACGCTGTGAGATTTAAAGACTCGTAGTCTTTCATTTCCAACACCACCCTCAACACCACCCCTCCCACGGACGGACGGACGGACGGACGGACGGACACATTAATCTATTGGTGGTCTGGTCCACTTCGTTCCTACCAGTATTATTCACTCCTGATCATGGTGTTTAAAATAGGCCAGTGACACGTGGAACGAGGACAAATATCAAACAATGTGTTAACAACCTTGTCTGGGGGAAGAACCACCTCTTGATGAGAGCCCACTCCTTTAAACAAAAATAAACGATCGGAATTAAATGACAGAGCAAAGCGTGATATCAATTAAAATGTCTGTAGTTGCTTTAGATTCATGTGTTTAACAGTTCTTACATGTGTATAAAAGTTCAATACAAACATTGTTGTAATAGAAACACACAAATGCATTGAAAATAAAACTTTTTTTTATCAGGAATAATAAGCAACTGAATTTTAAATCACATTCAGCTATGTAACATCACTAAATGCAACCGCATCGCAAGACAATGCTGCATGACCATTAATCAGCTTGAAACTTTTACAATTACATTTAAATCGTTTAACAAAAATATATAAAATGTAATGCAAGCCAACAATTGGTGGCATACTTACCCCATGCGTGAACCTCTTGCCAGTGGCCCTCCAGTGAATTTTTACTACGGTTTGTGACAATGTATTGGTACCCTACCCAAAACCTGCACACACAAAGGAAAGTTAACACAGCAGCTCGTCTTCATTAAAAGAAATCCACACGTTTACCCCATACTCTAAAAGAAAATATTACATTTTCTCAGCCTCATACTTGGCAACTGACCTGCCATGCTCACGTGGTAGACCGTCTCGCTCTTCCAGTCCCCAGTCCTGGCTCAGAATGAACTGCAACTCCAAGTCACTTGTGAGAGTAGCCAGGTAGCCTCCGGCCTGCCCGCAAAGCTGGGCAGCCTCCCAGTAGCTGTCAGCAGTCGCATATGCCCGATAGCAGCTGGCTGTGCCCTCGTAATAACGCCAGCCCGAGGGGCACTTCTCTGTGAATCGTGCACACATGTCAGCAGCTATATTGCTTTCTGATAAATAAAGTAAACTTTAATTAGAATTTCAAAGCAGAGTAGTTATATCGAACGTGAACAGCTCATTGGAATCAGATTTAAACACAACCCATTGGGTTGACCAAAAAAGGTGCCCATCAACTTATTAGTCATGATTAGTTATGAGCAACCTTGGTATGAATCACTCATCTCTAGTATAAATAAAGCAGCATCAAAAGTCACTGATTTCTCAATTGTATTCAACTACTTTCTTTCATTAAATATACAATGTTTGCAATTTTCTTCCAAAAATACCTAAGTTTGGTAGTTAACTTATGATGCACACTTGTTCTTCTGACAAATCGGTCAAATGTTGTTGAGCAACGAGCAGTCAAAACGTGTGTTTTGACAAAAATGTCACCCTTACTTTGAGAGTCTGAGGAGAGGCCAAACATGGTCTGGACGCGGGAGTTGTCCCCCGATGGGCCTTTGTTTTCTGGCCGGTCTCTACTCTGGTAGATCCACACCTCTTCCGTTGGTCCTTCAGGGGAGAGAACAAAGCCATTATTTTATTTTATATGGGTCAGGGAATTTTCGATTTAAAGCTTTCGTGACTGCAGGGATTCATCTTATTGGTTCTTTCGGTAAAGTCGCGTAGAAGGGAAATAATAAAATAATAAAAATAAAACATAATAAAATAATTCTCACGACGTTTCGGCCACAATGCAAGCAGCCGTCCTCAGGTGAAGAACAGGTCTGTCAAGAAGACAGAGTCTGAATGTCTTCTCGACAGACCCTGCTCTTCACCTGAGGACGGCTGCTTGCGTTGTGGCCGAAACGTCGTGAGAATTATTTTATTATGTTTTATTTTTATTATTTTATTATTTCCCTTCTACGTGACTTTACCGAAAGAACCAAGAAGAAAAAAGGGTCAGGGAATGTTAACTATCGTAATGTTGAATAACCTGAAGAGCATACATAACTCTCATTTATAAGTGATATGAATATGCCGTGTGAATCACTGAGCCGAAAGAATTTGGATCATTCACGATGTGGGAAACAAAGCATTTATGAACCACTTATTACAATTTAACATCAATTGGAAACATGCCAAATTCTTTTAATAAAACATCAAATATAGGCCCATGACTCATGGATACAGAAACAATACCCCTGTTCATTTCACATGACGTTTTCAATCATGAGAATGAGTTCCTTAAAGGAATGTGATTATTACAAATGCCACCTGTATTTGGTTTAAAATAAAAAAAATTTCACTGGTACGTATTCAAGAAAAGTTTATCTTCTGCATACCGAAAAAAAAGAAAATTTCTATTTGTTTTACTCTAAATCTCCCTATAATGTGTGCACTGTGCTTAATTTCTGGAGCAAACATTTGACTGCAGCTAAAGTGTATCTAGAAAATAAGTTTATTAAACAATTTCAGCCTTGCTATGTCGCTTTCAAAAGTTGACATCTGTTGTTTTGACTAGAAAATGCTGGTGCACAAAAACAAATCTTCTATGACGGTTAAACGAGTAGTTATTTTTGCAAGTCATAAATAAGGAAATGGCATGTATTAAAATTATTTGCAACCAAATATTTATGGTACTATGATACAACTTAAAAACACGTAAAAAAATATCAACGTATATTCCATATTGATTATGCATTATGTGTGTCATATTAAGAAAATCTAAAAATGTATGTTCACTATAAACATATATCAAATTCGAAAATAGCGTTGGTGTATTTTATGAAGATAGTCAAGCTTTAGTGAGACCCAAGGATAATGTTGAAGAAATTAAGTGAAACATTTCTGTACAATTCAGCCTGCAAAACAAATGAAATGAGTAGTTGTGCCATGCAATTGAACATCAGCTCCTCCTGTAAGGAAATAAGTGGTTCAACACTGCTACTTGCATCTTCCAGCACAGTAGAAAGGGGAAATAGCCCTGAAGAAATATTTACAGGCATTTGAATAATTGGGAACATTCTCACCATGTGCCACTAAAAGGCTACAGACAAAACAACCAAATTTGCATTGGTATACAGCACTTTAAAGACAAATAACAAAAGGCCTCACGGTTTTGCAAGTGGGGAAACTACCCTATATGTGAAGCGCAACTTCAACTGTCAACATAGATTAATTACAAAACGCAAACCCATCTTGGCCATCAAGAAAACAATAATCTTGTGCTTTCTTTTAAAATAGACCACTACCAATGAAGGCTGTAAAAGGCTCCGTAAACTAAAACCCATAATCCCCTCGAGTTGTGTGTCCAGCACCACACATCTTTTGTTCAATTTGAACGACAAGATAAATGAATGGAACTTGCCTCACTACAGAAATCAAAGGATGCCATTTACAGGGAATTTGACCATCTTCACATAGATGACAGCACATACTATACAATTATTCTAAAAAGCTGGAACTTAAAATGCAATGGATTTATTCACTTTATTTTCATTTTTATTGTTATTATTTTTTCTATCAACGTGACTTTACCGAAAGAACCATAGAATATGCAACGGCATAATTAACTAATTGAGGCATACTGTGAAGACTAGAAAACGCTGAGTTGTCTAAACCATTAGCGATATCCAATTCGAAGGCTAAATTAAAAAGAAGTCTTAAGTAACACTGGTAGGCTTTTGAACAGGTTGGTAAACACATGCAATGTAGAAAGGACTCGTCTTTTTTATCAAAAGCTTAAACCAAAGCACAGTAACGCAACTTAGACGCCATTACACCAACTAGATGGTGTCCTTGACGTTTAAGACAAATATACATATGATGAAGCAAACACTGAAGGGGAAACCCACTGACAACTTTACCGGGGCAGTTGGCTTCATCGCTGTTGTCTTCGCAGGAGGCCCAGCCATCGCACTGCCAGCTGAGTGGGATGCACTTTATTTTGCCGCTCCAGCATGCAAACTGGTCTGAAGAGCACCGAGAGTCTGCACAAACCAACCACGCACAAATGGGCACTGCTCAAAAGCGGGCTGTTACATTGTTTCGGGTTCAACAATCCCAAAAAACGAAAAAAAAATACTACGTTAGAGTAATTTGCTTGGACCAGAAAATTAGCAAAGCTCATCGCGTACCTGCTGGTGCCCTGGCCAGTGCCTCTCCTGGAGCTGGGGAAGAGGCAAAAGCACAGTGGTATGTTCGTTATAGTTATGGTACTCCATTTTTTTTACAAAGATCACGTTTTCATGTCATACACCATGTTAACATAGTAATAGGTTTTTACCCTTTCAATTGGTACAAAAACTGACACCTTTATACAAGGCATCATGTTTGCAAAAACCACAACACAAGCAGTCAAAATGCAAACAAAAAGAAACAACTCTGATAATGATTTGCACTGTCCTTGAAGTTGATTGGTCCACACCCGAGACAGTTTTCTTAGAGCCTAGTCTCCATTGGTGTTGGACCAGATGACGCCAAAAGGCGTACCAATTGAAAGGGTAAAAACCTATTACTATATTTTGCCACTGGTAAAGGAGATGTCTCAGTGTACCATGTTAACAGTTACGTAGAAGGGAAACAATGAAATAATAAAAATACAAAGCAATAAAATAAAAATGTCTTGCTGTGTTTTTCAAACCTGATGATGATTGCTTGTATTGCAGTCGAAACGTCGGGAGAATTTGTTTTATATTTTTACTATTTTATTGTTTCCCTTCTATGTGACTTTACCGAAAGAACCAATAATATGAATCCCTGCAGTCACGAAAGCTTTAAATAAAAAATGTTAACAGTTATGCAGTGACAAGGATTAATCTCACACAAAAAAAACTAAATGGAATTTCTACGAAAAATAAAGTCTGGGGGGCATGCTATTTATAGGTAAAAAGTTCACATTAATCCCAAATATCATTGAGATTCGGTGAAAATATTCAAAGGTCATAAAACGGATTTGCTAACATCACCGAAACATGTTGCTGTTCTCTTTACAGTAAAGCACATGGCACAGCACGAAAACCTGCAAGTGTGTTCTTAAAAGTAATATTTTTGCAAGTAGGTGGGTGGAACTGGAAGTGTACCCCAGGTGTAGCATTTTGTTTCAATTGCCGATAGGTGCACTGGATTGCACAACAACCAAAAAACACCGCAGTTAATGGAATAGCTTAGGTCTCTCTGAATATTGTTCTACGTGCATAGCTATTCATTACCCTGCACGTAGCCGACTCAAAACTAAACGCTCCAAAACGAAAACGCTCACAACTGTAAACGTTCACAAAACACTTTTCCTGTTTCCCGTGATAAAATTGCAACGCATATGGCCCACGTGGCCACCGGACAGCAAGTGCCGTACTACGCGGCACTGCACTACTTTAGGCAATGCGGTGGTGCATTCAATATGCACGTGCAGCAAGTTTTAATTAGGGTACTTTGTGTGCACTTTACAGGACTACACCAGGAGCGTTCCCGGCACCGAGGAAGGCTGTCCGGGGTCGCCTACTCCCCTTCCTTGCCAATAAATCAAACCGTATGAATTATTGAAGGAACATTTGTTTTGAATGGTCAGTGAACTCTCGGCCTGGGCCCTGCGTGGCATATGCAATTGGCCGCAAAGCCTTTTAGCAAGCGCGTCAACTACAGCAGAGTAAAGAGATGAATGGTAAAAAATATATATATAATGGTAACCGGGTGCAGCTCTGCCATTACTGCTCACGCCACTGCGGGTGAAGGTACAAGAAGGGATTAAGCACACAAACCACTGCATTGACTGGATGAGGAACCCAGGCTTTCTGAAGAATCCCTCGATCAACCTTTTTGTTCGGCGGGAGGGGTCGGTCATTTACTCCAAGCCACCGTGCAAGTCCAGGCTACAGGAGCTTTACTTGTTTTCCCCCCTCTGCCTACGACTATCTAAAAAACACAAGGCCCACCGCTTCTGTATACAGCGTCTTAGTATGCGGCTACCTCTAGGCGTTATGCAAATCCACATTGTAGTGTTTTGGAAGTGATGCAGGCGTACTGATATACACAACAGCGCGTGTATTGATATTACAGCACTTTCATTCGCTGTCAACTGTATCGTTGTTTTTTGCTGTGCACGCGTACATGTGACGCACATCCGTGCTGTCTTGGAAAGCCATAAAAAGGCTATGGTCTAAAACGTGTTATCAAATTTAGGTTGATTTGGTCCATTATTAAGTTCATTCTACGTCCGATCCAATAATTAAAACTATCCCATTTACATCAAGCCAACGTGATGACGAGGGTGGCTTTTTATGAAGTACACACGTGGGTTATCACCGCCAATCACTGTATCTGTACGCAGCAATAAATAATCAAGCTGAGAAAGTGGCACCATCCGTGAAACTACGGCGAGGTTGAAGGCATTCGTCATTCACGACCATCGCATCAGACCCAGAAGGACACCCACCCATGTGGTCGGTGCAGAGGAATTAACTACACAAAGATCCCCCTTAAAGCCTGGAACAGACTGTAGGGGCAAGCGCTGTTAGCGAGCACCTATGGCCAACCCCACCTGACCGCCTTTGTCTCCCCAGTGGCGATGTTTCCACACCAGGTACTTCGTTTGAGGCTGAGTCGACCTAGGGGATAGGCCCAGGGACCGGTTCAGATCGGTGTTGGCCGTGAGTGTGAATCGAACTCGGGTCGCCGGGTTGCTAAACGCTACACCACCACCACCGCTCCCCACAATTAAATATCCGCACACAGGGCGAGGGGGCGGCGGTGTTGAGTGTACAACAAGGTGCGCAACATCGGCGTTGTTGTTGTTTTTGTGACGAATATTGCGCATCCCTCCCAAAAAAACCAAGACTTATTAGCCAGGATGAATAAGAAGCGTAAAATCACTCGAAACACGGTGTGGTCCCACGGCCACACTCAAACAAAGCGCGCACGCGGTTTCATAAAACACCGAGACGCGAGGCCAAGATTATCTCTCTCAATCCGCCACGGAGGCCCTCCAACATTCACCACCCCGCAATCAGAACCCTCGCTCGCCATTGGCCAGCGCCGGGCCGGTCAAAGCGAACGCTCAATCCCCATTGGTCCTCCTCGTGCATAATTATGTTAATGAGAGGCGGGAGGGGAGGGGCTGGAGGGGAGGGGGGCCCGCGAACCAATCGCGGTGGGGAAATCCGAAGCGAAACTCACCCGCGCGCTCCGCCACCGCCAGCACCAGGCCGAGCAAAAGCGGCTGCATGGAGAGGCGCAACATTTAACCGCGATGCCGCATGCTTGTCTCCTCTCGTGAGAAATTCTCCCCACTCCACCCGAGCGGGATCCGCCCGACTACGAGCGTCGTTTTCTCGCACGTCGATCCCCGCCAGACGCCGCCGCTGCAGCTCTCAGAGAAGCGACAACAAAAATGGCGGCCGTAGAGACGTCCCCCGCCCCTCCCACTCGCCCCCGCCCCTCCCACTCACCCCCCACCCCTCTCACTCACCGCCCGCCCCTCCCACTCACCCCCCACCCCTCTCACTCACCGCCCGCCCCTCCCACTCACCCCCCACCCCTCCCACTCACCCCCCACCCCTCCCACTCACCCCCACCCCTCCCAATCGCCCCCGCCCCTCCCACTCGCCCCCGCCCCTCCCACTCACCCCTTAAGCCCCTCCCACTCACCCCCCCACCCCTCCCACTCACCGCCCGCCCCTCCCACTCACCGCCCGTCCCTCCCACTCACCCCCCACCCCTCTCACTCACCGCCCGCCCCTCCCACTCACCCCCTACCCCTCCCACTCACCCCCCACCCCTCCCACTCACCCCCCACCCCTCCCACTCGCCCCCGCCCCTCCCACTCGCCCCCCACCCCTCTCACTCACCGCCCGCCCCTCCCACTCACCCCCCACCCCTCCCACTCACCCCCCACCCCTCCCACTCGCCCCCGCCCCTCCCACTCGCCCCCGCCCCTCCCACTCGCCCCCGCCCCTCCCACTCACCCCCCACCCCTCCCACTCACCCCCACCCCTCCCACCCGCCCCTCCCTCCCACTCACCCCCACCCCTCCCACCCGCCCCTCCTTCCCACTCACCCCCACCCCTCCTCCCACTCACCGCCGCCTCTCCCACTCAAGCCCCGCCCCTTACACCCCACCACTCACACCCGCCCCTCCCACTCACCCCTTTAGCCCCTCCCACTCACCCCTCCTCCCACTTACCGCTGCCCCTCCCACTCAAGCTCCACCCCTCCCACTCACCCCCGCCCCTCCCACTCACCCCGCCCCTCCCACTCAAGCTCCACCCCTCCCACTCACCCCCCACCCCTCCCACTCACCCCCACCCCTCCCACTCACCCCCCACCCCTCCCACTCACCCCCACCCCTCCCACCCGCCCCTCCCTCCCACTCACCCCCACCCCTCCCACCCGCCCCTCCTTCCCACTCACCCCCACCCCTCCTCCCACTCACCGCCGCCTCCCCCACTCAAGCCCCGCCCCTTACACCCCACCACTCACACCCGCCCCTCCCACTCACCCCGCCCTTCCACTCACCCCTCCTCCCACTTACCGCCGCCCCTCCCACTCAAGCTCCACCCCTCCCACTCACCCCCCGCCCCTCCCACTCACCCCGCCCCTCCCACTCAAGCTCCACCCCTCCCACTCACCCCCCACCCCTCCCACTCACCCCCCACCCCTCCCACTCACCCCCACCCCTCCCACTCACCCCCCACCCCTCCTCCCACTCACCGCCGCCTCTCCCACTCAAGCCCCGCCCCTTACACCCCACCACTCACACCCGCCCCTCCCACTCACCCCGCCCTTCCACTCACCCCTCCTCCTACTTACCGCCGCCCCTCCCACTCAAGCTCCACCCCTCCCACTCACCCCCACCCCTCCCACTCACCCCGCCTCTCCCACTCATCCCCGGCCCCTCCCACTCACCCCCGGCCCCTCCCACTCATCTCCGGCCCCTCCCACTCACCCCCGGCCCCTCCCACTGAACCCCCACCCTCACACCCGCCTCCGCTTTGTATTTCCCAGCTCGGACGCGCGCGGTCGTCGGGCGAAGAGACGCCGCTATTGGCCGAGGCAGCGCGTGACCCGCAACGCCTTGACCAATCGAGTTGGTGGAAATCGGCTGCGCTCGTTTATGCAAACTAGAAAAATAAACAAGGGGCGGGAGGGGGTTGGGAGGGGGGGTTGGTGAGGACCCCGCGCGAAAGGTGGCCACTGCGCACGCGGTGGCGGTGCCTGCGCGGGATAATTCATAGCACAATGTTTAACATTCACCTTTCATGCTAATGTTGCCGTTTTTATGACAATTGGTTCACTTCAGATTATCCATTATACGGGTTTTACAATATGCCGTTATTTCAACAAAACGCATTGTGCTATCAAATTTAAATGTGAAATTGTATTTTATTTACAGGTGAAAACCCGTGCAGAAATTAATATTTTCAACGAAAAACATGAGCACATTGACACGAACACAATACAGTAATAGTCACAAATTATCACTTTTCAAATGTACTCAGTATGGTAATATATACAATTTGTATTGTTACAAAAATACCCTACCCCGTACTCATTAAATGGTTAAATTAGGCATTGAAAATAAAAAAATGTCCAATTGTTAAAAATAAAACGTGTCAAAAATGGCATCCTAACATCACAATGTTTCACTTGCTAAGTAGTGTTATTTACGTCAAATTGACTGTGAATAATTATTTCTTACCTTGGATATATGTTGGTGAGTCAATTGATGTCTCACAAAGCATAACAAATGTGAAGATATGCATTAGACCATTGGCAGCTTATTTGTTATATTTATTGTTTACCAACTTATCAACAAATCAGGTGTCTGCAGTTAATCAAGTACTGTAATTTAAAACACTCCACGGTCCAAAAGAAGAGTGTCTCATGACCAAAGGTTATAATGGGTGTCAACGACTGCCCTACTGCCAGATGGCATTCTAGTTATAGTACTTTGGGAGTTTCACAGCTGGCACATCTTGTCACATACCAGGAATGTTGGTGTCACGAACAGACACATTCCTAGGTGCCACTGCAATATATGGCGATAGATTTTAAATTTCTGCTGGCTCAGTTATGTTGGATTGACCGACACTTGCATTGGCCTATAATATAACTAAAAACATATGACCGACACTTGCATTGGCCTATAATATAACTAAAAACACATGTTGGAGGCAGGCATTAGAGACAAAAGTCAAATGTATATCACATGAAAGCAAAACAGCCCACAAGGGATAATGGGATTCCAAAGTCAATCACACACTGCAGCATTGTGAGGTGTGTTTTAACAGCTGGTGAATATGGCCATATATTTTCAGCAACAAGATAAGTCACGAGTGCAGCTCATAAGAATCTTAAACTTGCCTCGGATAAAATATTCTGTTCACCCTGGGGGATGTTTACCCTGAATGTTCAGTGATTTATTTTGTGGGGTTATTTATTCCCCAGCAAGTAAAGGAAAATGGTTTTGACACTCTTGCCCAAACATGTTTTCAGAAAAGCCGTGATATGGACCTCAAATGGTGACCTGTGAAAGTGTAGATATGTGTACTTTATTTGCTGGCTAGCATTCGTCAGTCCCCATCAGTCAAAGGCACATCAGGACACCGGTATTCGAGGACAGTACTGTGTTTTTCTCCACGTTCACACACATAGCAATGAGACTATTCAGATCACACGGGCCAGTGTTATATCCGCAACGCTGCACCACATGTTCTCTTAATAAACTAACATGGGTAGTGACATGGCCCAGCGGTAGCACGTTCACCGCTTGCTGCAGAGGTTCACAGTTCCAAACAGAGCGGCCGAATGCCGTTCACATTGTGTGACAGCGTCATAGTCGAAATTGACTAAATTAGAAAAAAAAAATACCAGTAAAGTTACTCATTTAGAATTACTATATGCATGGCAACCATCGCCCTCTGTTGCAAAAACTTGGCAGGACCCTCCTGGGAAAAAGTCACGAGACGCAGTGAAGTAAACAATCATACTACAAAAGTAATAATATTTACACCGCTGGAAAATCCACAGCTGGATGAGGCCTCTCTCTCTCTACATACCGTGTCGGTTTAATGGGATTGTTTTTTTTACCGTAGCTGACCACACTGGTCATAATAAGTTATCGATGAATTCAAATATCACTTGGAAGTTCCGCTGCTGCTAAGCAAACCTCACGAACTGGAGCTATCTCGACCAGGCACAAGAACACGAACAACGTCTCCTGTGAAGAGCAGTAGACGATTGGATGATGCCCCCACTCATCTGTAGTCTGTGAGAGGATCCGTGCACAGCTGATGAATTTAGCACCGTTACTGACTGACCTTTGTGCGCGCCTGTGCCCACATACAGTGGTGGCCAGTGGTTTAAAGTGGGGTGATGAACACGAAATTAATTAATCATTTATATAGTATTACCACCGTGTCATCCGCCCAATCCCATGTACTGCATATTCGCAATATGTCCTCTGTCGGGAAACGTTTGTTGCAAGCTGCTGGTGAAGGCGTCATTTGGCTTTGATGCATCCATAAGCCATCAAAACATAACAGCAATCTGACCGACAGAGGGTGCCACAACGTATAGAGTACAGGGATGCAGATATGATACACAACAATACATTCTAACGCTGTTTCCTGTGTGCATTTGAGATGTTGTGGGTGCCGAGTGACGGTGCGGGGGGAGGATTTGTGGCTTGGATTAAAATGTGAATCGTTACTGGACTCGATGTCCTTGGTTTGTATCGTTTCTTTGGGTTTTGAATGTTCTGTTTGTCGTGGTTCCTTTGGCCGATGTCCCTAAATTGGTTAGTGTTTGTTGTTCCTCTCCAGATGTTCCCCTTTCACCTCGGCGTTATATTTCTCGTTTGCGTTGCACATACATTTTGAGATTCTGCGTCAGTATTTAAACAATCAATTGAAATAGTTACGCGTATCCCATCACTAATTATACATCTGCCAGCTTTGCAATATTCATTAAGTGAAATAACACAACCGCTTTGTTCCATGCGGTTTGATGCGCGTGATTAACGCGACCCGTCTATTTTGTTACTATACTGGGTAGAAGTGTTATATTTGGGATACGTGTATCATATACCGTGCCCGTGGTCATTGTGCTTAATTTAGGCGATGTAACACCGTGTTTTTGTTTTTGCGATTTCATTCGCTGTGAAAGCGCCCGCCGCTATATCGCGTGTTCCCGCTGGTGCATAATGCGCGTGTTTTATGACATGCGCTTGGACAAGATGTGGCATCTTTTTGTCGATAGCCTCAAGGTTACTTAACAAGGACAATTTCGGTTGTTTGTGGACGTGAAACCGTGGCCACTTCTGGACGCGTACACTTCAGGAACCTAATGCCAATTCTAAAATAAATTTTAAAAAAACTGTTACGTCTCCTGTCTTAAATCAACGGTCAGCTTCGAGTTACGTTTCTTCAGGATAGACATGCTGGTTGGTGGTCACCAAGATATTGTGAGCTGTTTTCAGGACTGTGGAACATTATTAGGGGGGTAGGAGGTCTTATGGGGTCAGGTTATCTTCACCAACTCGCATTGACCAACGTGCTGAGTGAGCTACGGCCACACGCTATCTTCTTCCCCCTTAATTGACGATTGAGGCCTGCATCCAGTATTGGATTGGCCGTGGCTGATAATCAGATTGTCTGAGATGTCTTTAAAAAATCAAATTCATCTCTAGATTTTAGATGGATTTTTGTTTTTACTTGGGTGAACAGTTGTGCTTGAATCGCATGAGCATGCCGCATTAAATTCAGGCATTCCGAACAATCACAGACTATTATTGTACACGAATATACCAGCAGCGATTGTGCTGGTCCATTCGGAGCCCTGAGCAAGGGAAAGAGATACCGCGAGATGAGAGAAAATAAGTGGAGATGCAGTGACAGAGATGAAGTGAAATTTAACAAACGTAGACAAGAAAAACAAATGGTGTGCGATGAAAGATTCAGACACGATAGCTGTGAGATAGTGATTAATTCGTTTGTAGTTTAAAATTATTCAAACATACTTATTGCATTAATATTTCGTTCACACACATATATTTTTTAATGAATCCAGGCCCTCTTAACCTACTTGGAGCCCTAAGCGTCAGCTTTTATTTTGCGTTCCTATATATCGGGAGATGCAAACACGCGTTAACGCACACGCACGGGCTTTGACGTGCAGGATGGGCATTGGCGATGGCCATGAGGTTACTTTATTTTGGGGAATTGCAGGGTTGTTCGCACGTAATCACGCTTAACAGCGTGCTATTGCATGATTTGGATACAATTGCGGCACAATGACACGGCGCAGAGCGGGCAAAATCGATGCGAGGTTTGGTTGAACATGCCTTTTCGCTTCCCTCCGCCCCCTCCAAGCCCTGTAATGGAGCGACATGGGTCAGCTTCCCACCTCTTATATATTAATAGCTTCTGCATGCGCTCTTCCAAAGTCTGTTCAACCAGCGCGTGGTGCAACTGCGCTCGGCTGTTTATAAATGTGATCGCCACGGTGTGGTCAATGCGTGCGTGGAGAGTCTCGGGTTAATGGTTAAACCGGGCCTACAGTGTTGTCAAACAAGGGGGAATGCATGGTTGGCCTTCGGGCTGTGGTGCAGGCAGGTAATCATCTCTTTAGTCAATCAGTAATCCCTCTGGCGGCGTCAAACCTGCGGGGAGGACACGAGTTCCATTTAAAGAACGTGCTGTCCTGATGGAAAATTCAGAGTCAAGAGTCGTGGCGTCGTTCGGGTTTAGCATCTGTCATCCGTCGGTCTTCTGAAGAGAAAATCTTTTTGTTGGTGGTGGGGTGGTGGGGATATACAATTAATTCGGACGTTGTTTGTAATCAGCTGGACGTTTCAAAATTATAATTTTTTTGGGGGGGGGGGGGGGTGGGGGGAATTATTCACGCTTTGCTAAAATCTATCTACCATCACCTGGACGTTTCAATGGAAGAGAACTTCGACGTGTGCATCTAAACAATCAAACGCACTTTGTATACAGTGCATAATAAATGGGCTGTTAGGGGGGAACATTCAACGATGACTGCCAAGGCGCTCTCGGATCTGCTGGCTCGCGGCACGGGCCGTGAAGCCGCCGTGGAGGTGCAGGAACCCAGTGCCGACGAGTCCGAGTCGGACCTGGACGAGGCGGTGACCTCGTCTCCCTGCGTCGACGAAGACGACGACGACGAGGATGAGGATCAGCTGTTCGCCGGCATCACCATCACCACCACCACCAACATCACTGCCAACAGCAGCAGCGGCGGCGGCGGCGGTGGGGTCGGTATGCGACCCACGCCGGGGTCCGGCACGAAAGAACCCCGCGCGGAGAGGACCTCGCAGATCATCCACAGCGGCCACTTCATGGTGTCGGCGCCGCACCGCGACGCGTCCACGCGCCGCCGCTACGACTTCGACACGGTGGACCGCCAGACGTGCCGCACCTACCGCTTCGGACCGCGCAGCGCGTCCCACTACCTGGCCATCGACGCGTCGCTCACGCGCCTCTTCGAGTGCATGACCCTCGCCTACAGGTGAGCGCGTGTGCGCGTGTGTGCGTGAGCGTGCGTGAGTGCGCGTGCACGTGCGTGAGTGCGCGTGCGTGAGCGTGTGTGCGCGTGCGTGAGCGTGTGTGCGCGTGCGTGAGCGTGTGTGCGCGTGTGTGCGTGAGCGTGCGTGAGTGCGCGTGCACGTGCGTGAGTGCGCGTGCGTGAGCGTGTGTGCGCGTGCGTGAGCGTGTGTGCGCGTGCGTGAGCGTTCGTGCGCGTGTGTGCGCGTGAGTGCACGTGCGTGTAACCCCATTCATCGGTAGTGCAGCGGTTGCTCACGGGCCAACACCGGTGAGGATTATATGATCTGAACCGTTCCCAGACACTCCTCTAGGTCGATTCATCCTCAAAGGAGAATATGGCGCGGTGTGTAAACATAGCCACTGGGGAGACAAAGGCGGTCGGGTGTGGTTCTGGGAACCCATCCACCTCATGTGCAGTCCGGACTTCACAGCACTTGCTCCAACAGTGTGTTAAGGCTATACGGGGGATCTTTGTCTCCGTGTCTCCCTGAGTGCACGACCGTCGACTACAGATGTTAGTGGTGGTGTGCACGCACAGGTGTGTCAACTATTGGCTGTATGGATGTCAACTAAGGGTGCGTGTTAGCGATTGAATGGGTGTATGCCTCTCTACATGGCACGTGTGTGAGATTACACATGTACACATTTGATTAATTTTCTAATCTTTGAAGCTCTGATTTGCAATAACTTGTTGTATGTATGTAGAACTTTCGCACCGTACGTAGTCAACCGTGCTAATCGGAGGTGCAGGGGAAGAACAAACTAAACACAAAAATCAATTCTAAAGAAATGGGTCTATGGGTCTCTATGGGAGTCTATGTACCTAATTCTAGATTTGAAGCTTTCGTGACTGCAAGGATTCACAACTCTTAGGCTTTTTTTCGGTAAAGTCACTTGATACAGTAAATCTAGCTGTCACGGTCCCACCCGATGACGGAGACTTGTGTTGCCTCCGAAACGTCGTGATTTATTATTTTATTTATATTATTACTTTTATTAATTTTAATTTTATTTTTTACCTACGTGACTTTACCGAAAAAACCTAAGAGTATAGTCTATGTACCGTATGTTGAACTTCTTTTGCACCGTACGTAGCCAACCGTGCTAATCGGAGGTGCAAGGTAACCGTTATTAATGTAATTGTTATTAATGTAATCGTTATCTTACCTATAAGGTCCAGTACGGTATTGGCCCAAGATACTTGTCCTGATGTCCTCCACTGTTCACCTGCGTATCCAAAAGTGAACTCTGCATGCTTCTGACGTGCGTTAACACAGCAAGCCAATTCCAGAGCACTGAACATCTCATTGGCATGTATGGGACACGGAATTACAACGTAGCGTGTATGTTAATATCATTCCATTAAATCATCAAGTATTAAAAAAACACGAGTACATTAATCACAATTATACGTAACACTACGCTACAGAGTGGGAACAAATATATGACGGGCAATGTTTTGAGCAGTTGTCTTTCTTGACATCTTTCTTGTTTGATCTCTCTGCAATAAAGAAGGGTCAATGTCCAAAAGGTCGCTCACCTCTTATAGTATAAATGTTTCTCTCCTTAGGGTACTTTTATTGACAACAGTTTCGAGTGTTTTTCCGATTAATGGAATTAAGTGTGTTTTTGTCATTTTTTGGTGCAATTATATTTACTCTAATTGCGCACATATTTTATAAACATTATTTTATAACACGGCAACAATGAGATGTAGACAAACTCCTGAAAGCAGAGTTTAATTTCGAATCTACAGGTCACTTCGTGGTAGACAAGGTAGCTTGGGGAAATATCGCTACAGCGACAAGACACCTTACAGTCAATGCCAGCTCATCATGTGTGTTTATTACACGTTTTCTTTTAACTCACTCTGTCTGTTGTTGTCGTTGTTGTATCCTCAAATCTTTTAACTACATTTTAACCCACTTCCCAATGTGGTATCAACTGCAAACTTGGTATACTTATGCCATACTAATGACAATACTATATTATATCATAAAAAATCTATATGTTTAAACATTCTTTTTTATATGTTATATTTCGGCTTGGGTCTAATTGTCCACGGTCAACTGACGTTGGCTGTAATTGGCCACGGTCCCTATTGTTATAGCAAGCTTCGGTGCCACTTCCTGGAGTCGTGGAGTTCTGCCATTGCTAGTACATTTAATAAAAGCGTGTTTAAAAAAAGTTATTTTTAATATTACTTATTTATTTATTGTGCTGTTGCACCACTGCCAACGCAGTAACACAAACACATGTAATAACAACAATGCCTTTTTATACAGTACAAAACAATACCAGATGTGGGCACACATACACATATTCACGTGATTCGTAGCAAAATCATTGTATTGTCTTTTCAGAGCAAAGCTTTCATAAAATGGAAAATGCAAAGGACAGACGTAAAGACGTACACAGGATATGATGAGATATATCAAGTGGGAATGAAAACATCCAGCCACTTCTCAATCCACCAATATATCAATGCCTCCCTATGCAATGGAAGTCTTATGTTTTTTTTTATATCATACTTCACCACGCTAGTCAGTGCGGGTTAGTGAAAGTGAGGGATGGCTGGACCGGTTCTGATATCACATGGCATTAATTTAATCATAGCCGTGGTCAGGAGGTGAACTCGGTTCTCTGGGTTCGTAGCACAGCACGCTAACTACACAACACACTGATTGAATCGCTGCTCCAACGCACATATGCAGTATATGATACGGTATACACTACACATTTTCAGTCAGCTCCAATTCCCGCCAGTGCTCACAGAGTTTTCGCTGTTCTCAAAGTGCAGTGTGCTGAAATTGGAGCTGGTGAGATCTGTTTGTTTTTCAATATGAACCAATATTTTCTCAATTATGCCATTTAGGCTTGCAACACTCGAATGCGTTCCACTGCCGTTGGTATTTTTGTTGTAAAAAAAATTGCAGCCATGTGTTTCCAGATAGGCGTGTGACAGGAGAAGCATTAATATTTCAGTGTTAGTGTGTCGCTTTGCTGCGAGTGAATGATAGGGAAAGACACAGAGAGAGTGCAATACACAGATGAACTATTGGTCTAACGATTTGTCCAATAACATTTTGGTCACCGCATCATGCATAACACTGTTTTGCGTTTATACATAATACTTTTAGATGTGTTTAACATTTAAAATCTATACTTTGAAGATCAGTTTTTATTTTTTGGCTTTTCAAGAACAAAAACAAACAACAGGCTGGTGGGATACAGCTGTATGAGTAGGAAATTACAAACGAGACGTGCAAGATTCATCTGCAGTCCCTGCAAACGTGAAATATAATTACGATGTGAAAAATATAGGCGACTACCGTAATTATTACGCAAACAATTCAAGAATCCAGCAAGACTAATTGGGCAGTTGTTGTCATAAACATGCCATATTCATAGCGGTGATGTTTTCATTAAACTTTCCCTTTGTAAAGTGCACTGAGGACATGTTGGGAAAAGGGCTATTGACTAAATGCCCACATTCATTCACGTCCTACTCCTTCACACATCTGATCTTGGTTTGGCCATGAGGACCACGCTGCCTCTCAGATGTCTTTAGAATCAATCACAGCACCCACGAATTGCCAGACAGCTATGGATATTAAAATAGCCTTGATGGATCTGCCGTCTAATTTTAGAGTTGCCATTTTTTTTAAGTTGTTCTGATAATTATGATAATATAATATACTGTAAAGGAATGTGGTCACATTCATCTTCTTCTGAACACATTACAATGTAAAGAAGTACTCTTTATAAACGGTATTCCAATGTTGCACAATGTCTACATGTGTATTGTAGCGCAATAAAGAAAGTTACTGTCACCAAATGTTTAGTTGGTTCAAGAAAACCACACTAATTCTCAAGGAGTCCTTTTCAGGAGTATCCTGGATTACAATATAACATTAATTAGATGAGAATATTTCACGTGGGAATAAACACGAGTCCCTGGGGAAAACCCATATGGTATGCAAAAGGGCATGACACTCAAATACTGCACAACAATAAACTACTTAGGCAACCAGCAACCTACTTGCCACACTGCCATCTGTGGGTGCCACCTCTTAACATTGGCATTCTCATGCACACGGCAGTCATCAGATCATAAAACATTTGAAAAACCCTCTACATGTATTGCATTTGTTTATTGTTGTGTTTAGTTTGTTGTCCTTCCCCGCACCTCCGATTAGCACGGTTGGCTACGTACGGTGCGAAAGAAATTCAACATACATACCCTTTAACTTTCTGTCTCGAGGTTAATACGGTCATTGGTATAATAATAACAATAATAAATTATAATTTCAACTTGTAACACGCAGCACAATATTCGCTCGCTCTCGAAGAGAGAGAACGATTGAGAGGTGCGAGGAACCACAGACCAGCGGAATTTACGGGAGGCTTGAACTGATTTAGATAGATATATATAGATATTTAAATGATATCCTCGTAAAAGTGCTTGCATTCACACGATAGGCGCATCTCTCTTGTGCTCTACAGAGTGTCGCAATCCATGCAGCAAGCACGAGTACAAATTCACCAACAGAGCAGATCCCATTGGAGTCTGAGTAATATATAAATATCCGTTACACAACAAGGATGCATTGCTTATCAAAATATGAATATTTATTTATACTGGAGGAATCCGATGAGATATGCAGCTCTTTTTCACAGGTGTCCAGTAACCGTATATCCCATAGCGAGTCAACTTAGGATACTTTTGAAAATACACTCCTACTAACAGAATTATTTTAAAATTCCAGTACATTATATACAGTAAACTATACATCTACATTATTAATGTTTAGTGCTGTATTCAATCAGAATAACTTATGGTTCAGTCAACGCACATTTCCTCTTGTCAAAATGCAATATCGTATATTGTAATACATTAACCGAGCAGTTAGCTTTTTCACCAACGTTCAGTACAGAATCTTCCTACACAAACATAGTCAT